TTATTTTAAACAAAGACAGGGATACTAAAATATTCTTCACATGCATTCTTTAAGTAATGTAATATTTTTGTACATCGATGGCGTTGATGCAATGATATCCAATTTTTGCTACGACAAAAAATATGAAAATGATTTCTGTCCATAAATAGGGTAAAAAATTGGATTTTGTTATACTTTAGGATTCCATTGTGTATCTTTTCTCGCAAGAACAAAACAAACACATTTTTATGAAAAGATTCAGTAGCCAAGATCAAATATATTAATTATATCAAAGGTCAAACCTTGGTAAAACATATTTCATTCAAACTGAGAAACTTTTTGTGTGTTTGTTTTATATCGACTCAAGCCCCAGATGTTGTACATGCAGTAAGTAACCTTTGAAAATGATGTCAACCTTTTCATTTGAATTCTTAGGGTTTTGAGAATTATCCTTTTTAGGGGTTTGGTTTTGACTCTATAAGAAGTAGTGTTTTAGGGTAATGACTATCAAAATTTCTATTGTTTCTCCTTTATCAAGATTATTATCAGGAGTATTTCTTGAATTTATTTTTAAACAAAAATTTTTTTCGAACCCAATATAAAAAGGAGCAACCCCCTGCCCCTCATATCACCTGTGTTCACCAGTACCCCATATATCATCCCAAAATCAACTGATTTTTTGCAAAGCTTCAAAACAAATAATAAAAAAACATAGGGCAAATGTTGAATGTACTCTATGGGCAGTATATTGTGTTCTCTTTTGAGTTTAAGGGTCTCCGGAATATGTGTTACGGAGCAAATACTAGGGTTCAAAGGTTATCTACGATCTGCCATATATTTGGAGTTTACGCTTTTTCTATTTGGATTATTTATGTAGATCAGAATCGTCATGTATAATGAAGATTATTGGACCATCCAGAGCAGCTGTTGGCCAAATATGTTTTTTTCTGATTTATTTGCAGTTAGTTGAATGTTAATCAGATATATCTCACAAATACTGAATGTTACAATATTTCTTTTACTTTCTCCTCTCATTCTCCATTCATTATATCACCACCATAAGTGGTGACATATTGTTATGGACTCCAATTTATTTTTTATGGCTGCGATCGGCGGTTGATGTTCGGAGTTCAGAGTCTGTAACAAATGTCAGGTGGTGACATTTTGCATGTTAAATGCCTCATTATCCATGGGGATGATGCTATATTCTACTAGTTGATATAGTTGACAACTAAATAGTTTTTATTGGTCATATCACTACTTCCACAAGTTGAAGCAGTAAAATCTTTTAGGCATTTCTAGTTTAACACGTAAATAAATCCAATGAATGTTATAACACAATGCAGAACATAAGCATGACTAATACTGTTGTATGATAACCTTTACATTAGATGACACGTTTTGATAGACCTTTGTCGACATTTAAAGAATACCTCTTTTCATGGATTCTGTAAATGATTATGACAGGCTGAACCATGGAACAGAATTGCAATGTTTAACACAAAAGAAACCTCACATAACGAAGCTTTCTTTCCTCTGACCTACGATCTAGTTCAGTCAAGGCGAGACTAAATGCCATTAAGTACACTTGCTGTAGTGAAAGACAGACTGGGATAGAAAAATAAAACATATTCTCTATTATTTAATTCCGAACGGGAAACAAAGATTGAAACCTTTTAAATGTCTGTTTAAAAGTTGCCACATCAATTAGAGACAGGTAACTATAGCAACTCTGCTAATTGATTACCATGGTTACTGTGTTCTCGTGTCGTGTTAAAATAATTATGTAATGTATCTCTTACCGTACTGACGTACGCAGCCATCCATATCAAAATCCTAGCTAGACGAACCATCCTTACTGTCTTCAAAACTGTTCCCACTGGGGGAATTAATAGGTATATCCCAATAACGTGGTGCTCTTAAATGATTTAAAGTAAAAATCCTGCTTCATGCTCCTACCCTATACGTTCACATGTTGCAGGAATGAGTTGATTTTTTGCACCTAGAAACTAGAGTGATAGATGGAAGTTGTTTCGTTTTTTAAAGAAATTAGTCCCGAATTTGACAGGGAAAAATTACCTCGTGGGATACACTAGCGAGTTGCTTAGAGCGTATCACCGGCGATACCGGACTTGAGGATACGCGAATCAGCCGAGCGTCCTCTCCGTGGGCGTTCTATAGAGGACACACGTAATGTATCAATGAATGTGGTCAACAAAATATTTCAGTATTTGTTTTTTATCGTAATGATGAATGACATTATCTATTCATTTGCCTGTGTGTTGGTTTATCGGGATAGCCTCTTTTTAAGAAGGTATCCCTTGCAAACATTACAGGACGGGTTACTTTTTTGAGTTAATACATAAATCAAACATAATAGGCACGTTTTGTGTCTCTAAAAGGGATATACCATTCCGGCCTTATTAGTCATCAATTAAGCTAAATATTTAATTCCAGATGGCTTTCCAGAGTAGCATGTGAACATACAAGGGTCGTCAGACATTTGATAAGCTGCAACAACTTTAGGAAACCCTACTCAATTTGCAATTGTTTTACACTCAACCCAAGATACTGTACACGCAACTGTATTTATTAAAATTCCATGATAAATCTCATGTAATAAAGAAAACAAATTGAACGACATAATGGCCGTGTTAAAAGACATAACACGGTATCAGAATTTATGTGACTGGTGCTATGTTATAGTAAAGACAATTACTGGTCTTTGAGGGTTGAACATTTTCATTTTTGACGCGTATTTAGCAAAAGGGGTAGCTTCAAATAGATTGGCATTGATATATTGCCACAAAAATCAATTTTAGTTTCAGGTGGTATTGACCTAAACTACGTGGATGTGACTTAAATAATTATTGCTGAGTGGCCCTTTAAATAAACACCTGAATAATACTACGCGTACCCATTTCACGGTGACTATCCAGGCCCCGTATATCGCGAGCAAGTTCCCGCTTACATCGCGAGCAATGAGCTCATGTTAGAAGCGGGGCCTTGAGAGATATGATAAAATAAGTAGTTATAGTTGAAGAACGTCGTTGGCCTGCAATCGAAATAGCCATTGTACTATGAAATAAAGTTGTACTGAGTTCCACTTACTAAAGTTTTATAGAAACGTTTATATTTCAATTTTATCTCTCGAGGCCCCGCTTTCAAACATGAGCTCGTTGCTCGCGATATCAGCGGGGCCTGGATAGACACCGTGCATTTGGTAACTTAGATGACAATCGTGAATGGGGCATTTATCATAAAGATTTCTAATTAGTCCTTTGACAAAATGTTCCAGGCCCCATTCCTAAATGCACTTAAAGATTTTTATGTACTTTTTCATCTTTTTTTGCTAGCAACTGCTATAGGGTCTACATGTACTATAAATCAATTTGATGAGTTTCACATTTGAATCCATATTTGATAATATAGTCGTGTTTATTACCTTACAACCAGAAGTAGTGACACATTGTTATAATAGTCTCCATCTTTTTAACGGTGTTCGTCGGTTGGTGTTCGGCGTCCGGCAATTTTTGGCGGTTAGTATTCGGCGGTTGGTGGTCGGCGTCCGGCAATTTTTGGCGGTTGGTATTTGGCGGTTGGTGTTCGGCGTCCGGCAATTTTTGGCGGTTGGTATTAGGCGGTTGGTGGTCGGCGTCCGGCGGATGGTGTTCGATGTCTTGGGTTAACGTTGGTGTTAGGCGTCTGTGATAAATGGAAGGTGGTGACATTTTTCATGTTTATGTTTTGTTTGAGATTTTTAAATGTTTTAAATAAAACTTTTAAACAAAATACTTTTGGTTTATTCGTTGGTTACGACTAATTGGCAGTGTAATGTGACATTGGCATTAAACAATGACGTAATGTTGGCCTAAACTATAAATGATGTCATGAATGTTATCGTTTCTTTCCGCTACTTTAGAAGTGTGAATTTGAATTCGAAATATATGTAGATATCGACCCTCGGGCACAGTGGTCTAAAGATCACAACGCCTTTGATATGTCAGAAGACCTTGAGCTATATGACCTTGACCTTTAGATCATAATATGACGGACTGGGCTTATAAGAATTTTGAACATATTTCAAAATATATCGGAAGGTGCCCGCCCAGTATGGGAAATAAATATCAAATGTTCAACCTTAAAGCATTTTACCTAATCTAGCTCTCTAATCTGAACACCATTCAGTGTGAATACATAAAGCACTTTACTCCGAACACTAAGTTTTACTGTAATTAATTTTTTTCGTCAGAAAGTCTCAGAAACGTTTTGTCAACCAAAAGAAAAAATCTATTAATTTCCAATAATGAATGAAAATTACAGCCGGAAGGGGACAATTTGTCATATTTTATTTGGAATGATAAGCATATGAAAACTGATTTCAAAACAACATTTAATGGGGACAACGATTCAAATAAGAATTAGAAAGTATTGCGGGAAAATGATGGTCATGTAAAGGGCGCAATTCGGAATATTATGGTTGCTTTTTCGCAATTTGTAAAATGTACCATCACTAACACCCAGAGGTTTACATCTAAAAAGAAAGATGTCAGCATGGTGCACATCATTGTGAGCATATATTGGATATGTACCATTCAATACGTTCTTACCTAAAGATTTATTTTTCATTATCCCAGTCCTTGTGAATACAATTTAACTCTAATCGATTAATGGAAAATTACGACGCTTTAAAATCGAATTCAGGCTTAGGTCATTCCCCACGTAACTTCTGACGTAGATAGAGGGTCCTTAACCGAGTTACCGAGAAAAGTCTATTCACATTGTGCGGTCGTTTAAAAAGGTTTCACTTTTCGAAAAACATTAAATAAACCCATTTTCAGCTTAGTGGTATAACTTTATTAAGCACACAAAGCATGTTTTGTTAAGACCCAATCTACTGTGCAGAAAAACGTCTAAGGTAAATGTATACCTGGTTGGTACTGGCAACCTATTATAGTTGAATAAGTGAAAATCGATGGGACCTTTTATTATGCTAAAAGGATTAGGGCATAAAGAGTAACGGCATTCACAGAGGCCCATGTTGTCAAATAGGAGGTACACTTAATGGTTCCCCGAGATTTATTACCAAGAACCGTTGGACAAATAAGAGATACGCGAGAACAAGGTTTCTGGAGTTAGGAGAAATCGAATGGTGGATAAATGTTACTGTTGCCATAGCAATCAACAAATGCTTAATTACAAGTAAATGGTAAGTGCGTTGCAGATGTTATTTATTACGTGTTAATTAACTCGTGTTAATTACCCGTGTATTCACAAAAACGTTTCTATATTTGGGAAGCATATACTTTAAGTTGATACTTTAGTTAACGTAGAAGACTCTTGCTGGTGAGATAACGACTTATATCTTATTACATCTCCACTTGTTAAGTGAGAAAATATGTTACCTTACACGTGTTTACATATCAATATCAAAAGAAAATGATAAAATGTTGATAAAACTACAGGTTAACAACCTAAGATTTCTATCGCCTATTGATGAATTCGAAGCTATTTGTTGACTCTGTTAAATAATGTAGGATCGTGTGAGTACGTTATTTTAAAATATCTTATGATGGTTTTGTGCATCCAAGTGGTTATGGGACGATAGTCTTGTTATGATGATAGTCTATTCTAAATCAAATAAAATACAAACTTTATAAAGAATTTTATTTTTGTTGCAATACGACTTATTGATATTTTCCTCGTGCAAACAATTTCTAAGGAGGGTGTATAAAAGTGAAATAAAATGTTAAAAATCTACAATACACAAAACATTTGCAAGAATCAATATAACGTGTTGACATAACTTTTTTCAAACTGTTAAGTCAGCGTATTCCTTTATTTAGTACGTCATTTGAAATACCTCGATAGATCAAGATGATATTTTTCTACATTGCTTACAAATTATGAAAACGTTATAATGCCCTCGATTGATGTATGTAGTTATTCCAAAATTATCGGTTTGTATTTTTTGGTCACCCTGTACCTTACGATGTATGGCTTATTATAGATTCCCTGGTTTGACTTCAGACCAATATCCTAATAGGATTGATATTAAATTAAAAACAGCAGAAAAAAACGTATTTTATATGGGATCAATGAATTTATCTTTTGAGTTTTATGCTTTTTCGATTCATCAACTCGATCAGATTTCATGTACAGGGTGGGCCAATAAAAATTGGAACATTTTTATTTTATAATAATAATAAAGGTAAGCTGACCTCAGTCAGTCATACATAGCTTAAATGATAGGTTTTGAAACATAGTGTGCCAGATTTGAAAAACAGCGGAGATCAGTTATAATTAAGCTATAGGGGGACATTTTTAGCTTCTTCTAGAGATAACTACATATGTTTTAATTGATAGAGATTATGTTGAGACGATTTGAAGGGTATATATGTAGTATGGTATGAAAGATATACTTATTTTCAGCAATGATGTCTCAAGCAGAGAAGATTTGCACATTTTCCATGACACATGCAGTATACAGATCTTGACAAGCCAAAAATAATCATACATTCATATTTCTATCTTTATCATTTTCACATTTCAAATTATCATTTTACCATTATCTGCATTCTTGTGGATATGTCTGCAATAATGAAGAAAATTGAATAAATAAAAAATGTTCCAATTTTTATTGGCCCACCCTGTATATCATCGTATATATGCAAGGTATATATTACCAATGCAATATCAATATAAAGACGAAAGAGACCCGGGAACGAGCACGTATGAGTCTTTGAGTGTTGCTATTGATACCACCGAGTTAATGGAAATTATATCAATTAAGACTTTGATGTTGGATTATTATTACACCCCAGTAAATTCTATCGAATCTGGTTTATTTACACTCATTTACTCAAACATTGGAAAAGTGATGATAGACTCAGGATTGTCTAATGATTATGACCTTGGTCAACAACTCTGTCTCTTTTAGTCTATACCTGATATCTTTGAGGAGTGATGTAAGGGTTTGTCATATTTCATATATCACACACTGATCGGTTTTTCGTATTTTCTTACATAGTACTTGTGATGTTATTTCAAGTGTATTACTGATCCGATACTGAATAGTAAATCGATGTACATGTAGAAAGCAAACTAAACTTCCTCACAATGCTCTGTTTGACCGGAAGTGCCCTTTTGAATTACGCACCAAGGCCTGTTTATATTTATATTTGACGAATTAAAAAAATCACCCTTTTCATAAATTTCCGGATTATTGTAACTTACTTATTTAGGAGCAAAAATAATATTCAAACATTGACTGGCTCTGATATGCTATTCAATTAAAAAAAATGGTTGCCAAACGTATCGAAGGAAGTGTGACATTTGCATAAGTTTTAAATACTCGTTGTATAACAAATGATATATCTTTACTATTGCACGATATACATGACTTAAACTACGTATATGTAATTTTATTCTATTTAACATATATGATTATTGCTATACATATAGATAATGAAATATACTTTATGAAATTTTATGTCTTATTCATGAACCAAATACTGATATGTAAAGCACAAGGTTTCAGTTTAAAATGTTCAAGTTTTGAACTTCGTCAAATCAAGGACAGTTATTTGAATTGAGAGTAGTATCTAGTTTGAAATCCCGGTATTGCTTCTCTTCAATAAATGTACTTAGATATCAAAGCATTAGATTGGATTCATCATCACGAAATAGTTTCCTGGATCGATCTAAAAAAGAATTGACGGTGTAACTAACATCGATTCGCTATCATATTTAAATCGGCTAATTCTATATATCGTTTCATTTCACTAGGTGACCGTCATAATATTAGCAAGTTTTATTGCAAGTACCTGACGTATTTCTGTTCGCATTTGGATTGTAATTGTTTCCATTTTGTCACGGAGAGTAGCTCAGTTTGGAGAGGTTCTTGACATCATTATTGTTTATAATACGATATTTATTCGAGTGACAGATCGAATTATAAAAATAAGAATCAATCGTGTCACACTAGTATTCTATTAGTAATTGCATGTGGGAATTTTCACGAACTGATTGGATATCACTGAGGTGAACATCCTCGAAAAACAGTCATATCAATAAGTGTGAATAATTAATACTCTTTTTCTTTGTCTTTCTAGGAGTAGCAACAACGAGATAACAGTGCGTCTAAAATAATGGAAATGAGGGCCAATAATTCCAACAACGCAGCGTACGTAATAACTACGTAAACAGAGCGTAGTCCTGCCAGTGATTTGGATTATCATATAATACTTTCCAGAAAAGAACGTTGGCGCCAATCTACTTCAGAATATAAAAAATAATAAAATCCAGTAGATACCGTTAAACTAAACCGTAGAATCGAGGATCGTACAGAAAGTACCATGGTTGATAGTGACGCCTTTAGCGATGAGACAAACTTTGGTAGCGAATGTGATGATGATATCCAAACTGTCGAATGTGTGGACATATTGGATAAGTTCAACAAGGAATTTCCGAAATCTAAACAACAGCACATTTTCCAGTTCTTACACGATCAGGAAGAGTTAAATAAAAGGTTCGATGAGTTTTCCTTGAATAGTGACGACGACACTGATTCTACGAAGAGTGGAATCAGCGAAACTGAAAGCCTACTCGATCAACAACTCGCGGCAAAGCGAGCCCAAACTCTGACCACATCATTTCAAACAAATCAAGACTCCAACAAAACTTCTCCGAAAGTTTCTAAAAACCCTGGTGCACGGCCAAAAAGACTTTCCAACGGGAGTGTCACTCGGCCAAAAACATTGACGAAGAAAAATGTGAGACCTCAAACTGCAATGGGTGTTTACTCTCGTACTTTTAATGACCTCACTGATATTGATAAAATCCACTCACACAGTGCAGATGTACGTGTGAGAGTCACTAAAGCTTCTCCCGTAGCTGGAGATGATTATGTTAAAGAACGGAGTTACGGGCAATATGATGACTGGGGTAGACGGTACAACGATTCAGGGGAAGTGCTTAATAGTTCAGAGTTTGAAGTACCTCACCCTCCGACCTCCCCGCATGATTCCGTCCATAAGAGGGTGTCCTGGGATTCAGACCAAACACAGTTCCCCAAAACGTCAAACAATAATTCAGGTGCCAAATACTCTAACAGAAACTCATTTGATTTCACTATGGACAGCTATCGGAACTTACCAGCAAATTCAAACAGTCGAACAGCGCCAGACGTTTCTGCCTTACATGGAATAATACGACTGGGTCCGAATAAGAGTCCAGTCGGCAGAGGGCATCACATGCGTGTATTATCCATGAACGACAACCCAAATGTGGCTTTGTCGATTAACAGTGTCAAAAAAATAGAGAAAAACGATTTATCTTATAAGAAACTATCAAAATCTGCAAATTACAGCAATATGTCAAAGAAACATAGAAAGTCTGAAATGCCTGATTTATCCACCAGTGGGCGCTCTATAGCGGTTTTGAAATTGCCACCGTTAGATGGCTCTGTAAAACCAGGGACATTTGTAAGTACGCCCACATCCGCTAATCTAACGGAGTCGTTAGTTGGATAAGTAGGCTATGTTGTTTATAGGTGCCAGATTAAATAATAAAAAATGTAATCAAAAAGTTTTCTATTTTATATTACTCTAAGCATTTTTAGTTACTAATACTTTCCTATTTATGTTTCATCGAACGCTTTTAAAATGACCTTATTAGCGAAACATACCGTATGGTGCTTACAGTGACAAAAGCAATCTAACGTTTATCAGTTTTGAAATCACAAATGTAATGACGTCAGTGCCCTTATTCGAAACTCCTCATAAACGTGTTATAAAAATGTCAATATTTTCTTGGATAGCTAGAAAATAATTCAAGTTTTATGTGCTGATAGTTCTTGTAACTAAGTGCCTGTATGTGTACATTGATCTCGAGGGAAGACCGATCGGAACAATTAATCAACTTTAAGTTCATGTTAGCATGTAATTAATAATATACGGACTTCTTTGCTTTCTGCGTAATCAATCGGTGATTCTGAGAATAGAAAAAATCGTTTATCGGTAATGTAAGCTCGGGTGTACCCAGGATCTGATATACCAGTAGGGCGAGGCAATGCATTAACATGAATTACCTAATTCCTCACGATACATGAGTTCAATCTTAGTCAGATTGGAACTTCTGAGAACTTGCAGCTGATCTTGAAAAAGGTCAATTTGAAAAATTTGAAGCAAGTTGAAAAATAAATTTTGACCTTGTATGACCTTGAGAAGGTCGGTGAAGGTCAACTCATATCTAAAGTGAGATTTGAACTTCAGAGGATTTAAAGCAAGTTGAAAAATACATTCTGATCTTTTTTGAAGATCATTGGAGGTCAAATCTCAAATTCAAAGTGAGATTTGAACTGTTAGATGATTTTTGAAAAAATTGTCTATTTGAAACAAGTTGAAAAATACATTTTTGACCTTTTACGACCTTGAGAGGTCATCGGAGGTCAAATCTCATATCTTAAGTCAGATTTGAACTTCTGATAACTTCTGGCAACTAGGTGATGGCTTGTGTCTTCAACTTTATTTGATGTTATGAGTTTCTGTTACCGCCGATTAACTTTCATTCTTCATCATGTATTGTTTTGACTTCATTACAACTCACGAAATCCTTTTTCTACATCACATTTTCCAACACGAGGGACACTTCAATTATTTGAAAACTATCAAGTATATAATCGAATCATTAATTCTAGACTTCATGACAACAAAAATAATGTGATCGATTGGTAAAGAACATATTATTTTTCTGCTGACGTCAGAGGATAGAAAATAATTATAGGTTTTGAGTCGCATGTCTCGGATCCCTGTCGTGGGGTTCTTGGGAGATCGACGGATGTGTAATTAGTAGCAAACTGAAATGTAACTCTGATCGCATATTAAGGACGTGGTGGAGTAAAATAAGTAATTGTACAACTCGGTGGCCATCATGGCAGGGAGTAAGTCACCCCTCCCTCTTATAGTCTTTATATTAAAGTTTTAATATAGAGAATATTAGAGAGGAGGGTGACTAACTACCCGTGCGTGTTGTGACCATGAAATGCGGCTATTTGGGTCTAGACACCAGTGAAAGCTCAGAAGCTCCGACACAGATTTTCGACTTTCAAAGTTGGAGCAACTGGTGAAACCTTGTGAATCAAGATGCAGATACATCCATTTCGTATACGGTACTTAATTTTGGAGACCACTTTCCTCACTCTCGGGCGTTTTGTCATGTAATGTTAGTTGAAGGTGATTGATCAAGGAATTGAAGTATATAATGTAAGCAAGCCTTGAAATACCAAACAACACTTTACACATCTAAATCTAGAGTTACAATGGTAAATATCCCAAGTAAACATTGACTTTCCTGTTTGGCCTACAGTAGTTCTACTTTCTTCCAGTAGTCAATATGATCTAAACTTTAAGCACATATTTATACAAGAAATTTCAATGGTAAGGTAACGTTAATGCATAGTCAATAGTTGTCGACCCTAGAACAACTTCAGGCCATCACATTGCTTTCTTTTTATTGTCAGCATGTTATTGCTGCATTCATTTTTCTCATTCATTTTCAATTACCCAAATGCGAGTAGGTAGTTACCAGTTTCACCACCAGGTGGCTGATTCGGGTCAATTAACATGGCAGGTATATAAGAAAGTTCCCTTAAACTTGATTATTATCAATTTAAGTGGCTCAATTTTCATATAACCCTTATGTGTCTAATACTTATACTAATGAAAATATGTCCAGTAAAGCAAAATATTATCTGTCCACTAAAAGAAAAGATATTTCATTTTTTGTGATTTTATAGCATGGGGTCTATGGGGAATCTCCCCGAGCTAGAAGTCACATTTTCGAAGAAAAGTAATTTTTCAAAGTTGATAAACACTTTCTAAAACCACATTTCTAGATGTAATTTTACATGTAGATTTCAAATATGATATTACTTTGACTGAATTTTGAATTTTTAATGACGTAAATCAAGATTATTTCTACTCGCATCTGGGTTATTGGATAGACTTCATTTTGGACAGCTCGGTAGTATTTTAATTGAAAACGTCGTGAGCAGAAGTCTCCAAAAATGACTCTAAGTATGCTAGGTTTATACCCCGGCTTTGCATTCGTTTGACTTCACTTCTGAAAAGAGAGCTTCGTCTTCAGTTTAACTAGACTCTGCACAAAGGGTACTAGGTTTACAGAATTCGACATTATCCAATAATATTTCATTGACACATTCCAATTGAAAAGCATTATTCTGTTCAATATAACAAAATATGAATTCAAACATTGTTATACAATAATTTTTACAAGAACTCAGTAAGGTGGAGATATTGAGTAACACCAATAATAAACCAAATTGTAACTTGCATGTCAAACAATTTATTATATGATCAATTTGTTTGAAATAAATCTACTAAAATTGATATTGATCTGAGGTTATACTCCCATACTCGACGAACAATCGTTCATGAATAATCTTTTATAAATGTCAAGAGTACCATTGGACTGCCGCTTCGTCACTTTAAAATTTCAAGGCTGTTCCAAATCGTATTCATCTATTTTATAATAATCCACAATCCTTTTAACAGTAAACAAGATGCGATTTAAGATTTCGCCCTCCAGATGCCCTCGTTGCGCATATACGTACGACGTTTTATTGATTTTAACCTCTAGCCCTTTTTAATGAAATAAACATAATATTCCATTTCATTATCCTCTATGATTTTAAATGACAGAGAAAATTGTGTAGTTTGTATTTTAAACTTTGAGAATACCAGTTCCAGTAATGGAACTCTCAGTTCTGGTACTTCATCGGTAATTTGTATAAGACTGCCATCTTTATGTAGAATCCGAAAACATTCACATACAATTTTCTCAAATATTTTCTTTCCTTTTATCACGTCTTTCAACACGGCGTCTGTTGTACCTTTATCAATGATGCAATTAACAGTTTCATCTTGGAATGGTAAGTACTGAGCGTCACAATTTACAAAATTAAGTCTGTTACAAGATTTCACATCTTGACGTGTATTTCCATTGGTGCAGTTGTCAGCAATGTTGAGTTGATGGAACTTGTTTCTAAGTTGCTCAATACAATGGTATGAAAAGTCAGTACAGTAAGCATTAGTGTTGTTTAAATCATTCAGTAGAAGTTGAGGTATTAGATCCGACTGTCCACATCCGATATCAATAATCTTAAAAGAAACATTTTCCCTCATTATTGGACTGATAGCTGGTAGAATGACGTGTTTTAGGTGTCCATAGGAAAGCAGCCAGTCGATTGATTGGTCACTAGATTTATAATGGGTTTCCCAAGCACTCCTCTCTGCCATATCTTTCCATTTGATGTATGATCTTTTGTGAAGTGAATGCACTGGAAACAGATAAGAAGAATGAACACCATATGCATAAAATTATTATACAGTTATAATTGTAATACCAGGTCGATCAATAAGTTCATAGAAAATGTCTCTAAAATTGTGAGTATTTGCTCAAAAGAGATGAAATTATCACAAGGTATAGTATGGGGAATGTTTTTCACTATAGGTTCTGTCAGTTTTAGAGCGTGGGAACCGACTGTACCAAATGCTACGGATATTTTAGCTATGTGTGTTGTGTTTTCATGTGTTATTTTATATATGTCCGACAAATCGAATTATGGTTTTAATACTATCTAGATGTATTTAATATATCTAGTATCTAGATGTCTCGTTCATTCATTTGACCAATAAAAATCATAACTGCCTGGAAAGTAATATGAATAAAGTATGTAAATAAATGAACTAAAACGTCAAATTAAGAAGCAAAAGTCTTTTCTGGGTCACTGCGAATGGCATGATTTCCTCGAGTCTCTTCAGTTGCAAGGCAACCATACTGGGACCGATTCGCGTCGTTCCACTACTGCCCTTGGTGGGGGCCCGCTACCATACTATATGACTCCCGGAGTTTACTAAAGCACGTTAGTGGAGGAACCAACCACAGTCTCACAATCTGTCTCCGACAAGAGCGGCCAGAGAACCAACCCATGCCAAGGGCCGGTAAACGGTTGGACCTTCGGACCGGGTGTCCGTAGTGACAATGATCAACAACTCCGTACCTGGGGCTCGAACGCGGGACCTCCGTATCCCACGACGTTCAACCGCAAAGTAGCCTCAGTCTACGCCACTAGGCTACCCTGCTTAGGTGTCAAACTGCTAAAAAATAATGTAGTTGTTACAATTATTTGCTTAGATAAACATGATAATTACATTTCTTAATTGATTAATCGGATTTAGTTGGAATTGAAGTTTGACCAACGATCAAGGCAATGCAATCAACAACTCTTGCAAATGTGAACGGGAGTCGTAAAGACAGAAAGTACAAGAAGACACATATTTGAATATCGGGTAGGAGAAACATTCCAAAATGAAGAAGAATCATTTCATTTTCATTGTTGCCAATATATCAATTGCGTCTCAAATGGATGGAATAAAAGGTATCGCGGGCCACTAAAGCCGATGAGTGAAAACAATTACTATTGACGCATCTAGATAGCTCAATATAACGGTAATTAGTGAATAGGTTTGTGTAGATACGTCGACGAAAATAACCTATTTCGACGCTTGAAATAATCTGATACGCTTATTAATAATTACGCGTGGCTATTAAACACAAGTGTTGTGTAGAACAAAAACAAGAAAACTGAACGACCTCTTAAGGAACTCAGTGTACTTCAGTTCCAAAGTATTCAAGATATTTCATCCTCCGATCACAGGGCTTCAAAATCCACAATATATTCTTTCTTTTTACCCCCTGCGATAAGCAGTTAGCATTTCCCATAGGGTATGGTTACTACCTTTTTTATTTCTGTCTTGTCCTTATTTGTATCTGCTTTACATTCAAAACGTTCCTGTGTCTTTTAGGGGAAAAATGGAAAATTAAATGAAAAAAAAAAGAATAGTCCATTTTGGATAACCGCATCTTTCGAATGCTATTTTAACATTTGACGTTTCTTCTACTCTGTCCCCCTGTTCACTGCAAATCGAATCTGCTCTTCCTATTAACGTTATAAATTACCGACATTTTGTGTTCAAGAGGATGTTGGATTGAAAGTTTAAATACTGATCTGTGTGGCTAGGTTTTCTTTCTACAGTACATCTAATTGAACCATCCGAATTCCTGTTAAGTTGCGTGTCTAAGAAAGCCAGTTTCCCCTCTGATTCTTTTTCTACTGTGAACTTCACAACGTCTATAGAATTCATATGATTTGTCCATTCATTCACGTGGTCGTTGTCAACAATTTCTAGTACAACATCTACATACCTTTTGTACAATGACGGGGAACAACCTGGGGGCGCTGTGGCAATGGCTTGTTCCTCTAACCACTCCATGTAAATGTTGGCTAACGGCACAGGTGAAACCGGACTACCCATTAGAAAGATGCGAGGGGCTTAGTGCCTTAGTATATGAATTACAGCTTCATTTACCAAACAAATTCCAAATCGAAGAAACTTACTAAACAAGGCTATATTTTCTAGCTTTGGGCCAAATTATAATCTGCAACTTGACTTATCAGTAGGTATAAATCGAGAGAGCAAAAAATTCGTAACCAGGAAGTTCATCCATTTTGTTCCATTGACGTTCCGTCAAAGTAACTATACTAGTTGTGGAACAGTGATTATGGCATTCAGTATAACGCCTTTCGGTACAATGCGCGTCGGTACAATGCGCGTCGGTATAACGGGTGTCGGTATAATGCGCGGACCCCGAACAAATAATCAGATAAATTGTCTCAGTACATTCTGTGCAAATTTGTCATGGTTTGAGTGAAAACTCTCAATTTTAGAGACATTTTCCATAAATTTATTGATCGACCTAGAACAGTGAACATAGCCGTTTTTTATTAGATCAACAATCTGGTCATACATGTAGGTACATGAATTACAATATGAAATACGACCCCTAGCCACACCCCTACTTCCCAGCTTCCGTTGAGAAGATGGAATCTCACTCCATTACAATGAGACATGCTCATTCTCTATGGATAACACCATGGCCTTTCAAGAGCACCCGCGTTCTTTGAAATTGACAGAGAGTGTTTTCCGAGTATGTGTCCAACGAACCAGTCTGTTCTAGGCCTACCATGATGTGTACAAGTATTGAAGTAAAGATCTGCATTCAGTGCAAAATGAGTATTTTACAATGACAGAAATGCCTTTGGGTATTACATTTTTAAAGAGCACATTGTTCAATAAAACTTTAAAAAACTTTTTTTCAAATTTTACTTCTGAAAGTGCAGAACTGCCAAATCTCACTCTCCCCCCCCCCCCTCTCTCTCCGTGGAAATTTTAGATAGAATTTTTTCTAAAAATCGAATAAATACATGTTATATAAGTATTTAAGAGACCCTTAGCCAATGTTAAAGGGGCAATAAGGACTGTAGAGAAAATAGGAAAGTTTTTTAATTTTTTCTGAGCTATCAAGGCAACATTTGGTTTAACATCTTCTTTGACATACCTATTTTCTTAAAATGTATGGATGAATTATCAATTTCAGCATTAGAAGTGTAATTTCAGTTCAAAGCTTCAAAAAGGGGACTTCCACTTTTATATTTTTAAGACCCACCATGTTTCAAGAGGAATATCAGCTAAAATAATGTTTATCTAGGGCGTTTCTTTGTAGATAATAAAAATAGATGTTAGTCTTGGTGAAATATCCAAACTTAGAGTCCATTTCACTGTTAAAGTGCGTCAGTAAAAGCTATAAAATAAGAAATCAAAATATCATTTTGCAATAATATATGGAAAAATATATTCCTATTGAACATGAATGACATTTGTATATCTTGGATTGCTTCTAGTTTGGCTTAGAAAGTGTGTGGCCTCTTATATTTGGATGCTTCTCTGCCATGTTATTTTCAATAAAATTAACATGGCTGAAATTCTTCAAATTACAAGACGGCACAGGCTTATTGCACAAAAAAATAAAAAATCTGAAATATACAAATGTCATTCATGTACATTATGAATATACTTTTCCATATATTATTGCACAATGGTCTCCCAATTTCTTATTTTTGCCGTTCTACTGACGCACTGAAGCAGTGAAATGGACTCTATATATTTTGACACTGGTCCATGATCGTTGAATGACCCCTCTGCACTAATTATTGCACCTTTAAGTTATAAATAAGTGAAATAAATAATTCCCCAATGTTTACTTGGAAAACATACCTCTAATCCCATCATGCTGTTTAAAACATTGGCAAAATGTAAAGAATTTATTTTTTAGAAAACCTTTCATGGGCGCGGCCATTTTAAAAACACATTCCCACAAAATATTTCACATATCTTACATTTTATTACATTTGAGTACGATTGGTCTGCTAAAATATAAAAACTCAATTTATTTTTATTAAATATTTCACCTTTAAGAATTATTTTGATAGTGATGATTCTGACTTATCATTTCAAAACTTTAATCTGGAATGTGTAGCAATGTAAAAGGTCACCAAACAGGAAGTAGCCAAAGATGAAACATGTTTGATATTTTTTGCGAAAATGTGCTGTTTTCAGCGCTCGTTTCAGGCAGTTTAGTGAAGTTGTCTGCACTTTATTTGCTGCATAAAAACAGAATAAAGAATGCTCCAATTGTTGGCAAAGTTGCAGCTATTTTCGTGTATCCGATCAAGTCTTGCAAGGGAATCAAAGTTGAGCAAGCTGAAGTAACCTGGGAGGGCCTCAAATGGAATGGAATTATGGACAGGTACACTGGTATTATCCCTGACTGGTACAATATACATGCATGTTGATTACAAAGATTTCCTATAAATAAGAAATCAAATTCTTTTGAAAAATGCAATTACATTATAGAGAACTTCATGTAACTACAGCTTATTGGACAACATGTATTTTTGATGATACAGTATTTGACACTCTAAAAATGTCAATACATGTACCTGTACATGTACATAGTAGTGAATCAGAGGAGATAAAAAATTGTTCATGTTGTTGACCTCATACATAAAGTAGTTCATCTCAATAAAAACAGACAAACGACTAACTGTCATCTTTATATTGGCAATGCATATTTATTTAGTTTGCACAAAGCTATCTCCTGAGAGATATCCATCGAAAGATGGCTATGTGCAAATATAGTACATATATGTACATGTACATACTACAATACTCATTGATATGTTTTTTTTATATGAGTGTATTCCTTACATATTTCTTTATCTGTTTGAAGTTATATCATGTATACCAGTCATAGACAGATAGACCAGAAGTTTATCTGAATGCATAAAAAAGAGCACATTTTGGATCTGGACAATGATTGAAAGGTCTTTAAGAGAATTTTAATCATGGGCATAGTTGTAATATTTATCAAATTATTGTCCCTACAAATGTTGTTTGGATATCAGTGTTCTCCAAAGGATTTTTTCTCAAGTGGGTGCAAAATTCTCATTTTCACAATTCAAACCAAAATGGTCAAAATATGCCAATTTTTCATGATTTTTCTCATTTTCAAGTGGGTGCAAATGGAATTTTATTTGAGTGCAAGGCTTTTTTCATAATCTCAGTTGGGTGCTGCGCCCTCTTGCTTTAATGCTGTGGAGATCACAGGATATAGTCAGTCAGTCAGTCCATCCGTTTGTACATCCCACCAGAAGATACAATGTAACTTGAGCACTAGAATAGTAGTTTATTTATTTATGATTTTTTTTACAGACATTGGATGATCATGAGTGCTGAGGGTAAGACAGTTACAGCCAGAACTGACCCAACACTTGTCCTAGTGGAACCGAGTATACACGGTGACAGCATGCACCTAGATGCCCCTGGTATGCCAACAATAAAAGTACCAACTCACCCAAGCATAGAGGGGACAACGTGCTATCAGGTCAAGTATGTAGCACTCATTTTTTGTCCCTTGTTTATCTTTATTGGTACATACATGTACCATCTGTGCATAAACTGTTATCAATCATAAGGCAAGTGAATGAATTTATTTGAGGGGCAGGCCCGTAGCCAGGATTTGCCAAGGGGGGTTCAGTTTTCAAAAATTTCCATTTGACAATTTTGGCCCAAATATGGCTAAAATCACTTGAGAAGTGCTCAAAATGGTGAAAACTGCATGATTTTGAAAGAATTTTTGGCGAGGGGGGTTTGTCCGAACCCTGCAAACCCCCCCCCTGGCTATGGGCCTGTGGGTTACTTTGATTGTTTGTTGCAATATTACTTTAATCCAGTTGGTATGGTATCATGATATTGCTAGATTTAAGAGCTAGAGTCATGAGTTAGAGACAAAATTGACATTTGACATCATACATGTAGGGACTAGGTCACTCTACTATACCTTGCATTTGGTGTTCATAAGCAGCCCATTTCGCTTATTAGTAATGATTATGTTATTTGTTTTTATTTGTCTGTTCCTTATGAATGGTTTATCGGATGATTGGACAAACAGAGTATCTTATGCATTTCTAGGGTTAGGTATAGTAGTGTGTAGGTTGACAGAAAGATATATTTATGAACAAATTCACAATAGCGCCATCTTTCTATCAACTTGTTGCTTATGTGTAATCAATGAGCTTCTTCCTTTTTGTTTGTATATTTTTTATCATGTTTATTCGATACAATGATATATATTAAAAGAAAATTTCCAAAAGGAGACTTTGTTTAACATTATAAGTCGCAGGGCGATTTAACAAATATTTATTTAAAAAGAGCAATCTATTTGTAGAATCTGGGACCACTTTGTAAGAGGGGTGTGTTGTGGCCAAGAGGCAGCAGATTGGTTTAGTAAATACCTTAATAAGCCAGTCAGACTTCTTCATCTCCATCCAAAGCTAGGAACATCAACCATGCTGGATGGCGCGTCGAAGTTTGATAAATGGGCAAGACCCTGGGATAAGGTACATGTATCATCATATTCATGCACAAGCAATTTCATTTTTAAGTGATTTATCTGTTGATCATGCCATTGCAAAGGTAGGATATATTCAAATAAATGTAAAGATTATATAATATTGATAGAATTATAGAATCAGCTGCACATTGCACCTTCAATTGTTTTAAAAAGTATTTTAAATTATCAAACAGGCTTTTGACCTTGGATCAGTCTTATTTGATGCTACATGTATCTTTCATCAAGATACAATTTCATTCAGTTCTATCATGGGCTTTCAACTATTAAAGTAATATGAAATTGATTTCATTGTATGTGAACTACTCAATGGAACTCATATATCTTTCAGTAAAAGTAGGTTAAACAAATGGATATACGAGTATTTTACGTCCAGATGTCAAAAAACAGCCGACTCTTTGATACGCAGGAGCCTATTTTTGTTGGCAACAACTTTGATCATTTTTTATGTACATGCAAATGTATTATGTGGTTAACTTCCTATTAAAGGTAGCATATGGGGATGGTGCCACATATAACATGTTATCTGATGCCTCAGTGGCTGATCTCAACAAACACCTAGATGATAAACAAATCAATGTTAATTACTTCAGAACCAACATACATGCCACAAGTTTTAAGCCATTTGATGAGGTATATACAATTTTATCTGAATAACTCTAATAATATGGCCTGGTACTCATTTGTGTAAGGTGCGATGAAAAAGTTAGTCTCATGAAATTGGATTTATTAATCAGGGAAATGTTCGAAGCTTTGTCAAAATTGCTTTTGAAGTTGAAATCCTGCAGCTTCGTGGTGCAAAGTTGCCAAAATGCTATGCTCCAAAATGAAAAAATTGGTATCTCTTGGGGACTATGAAGAAGTAAAAATATCCTGAGGGAATATCGGGATCAGTGAAGTTTGATGCTTGAGTACAGTTTAATTAACTTATTCATCACACTAACAACAGTGCCGGCCTCTTTCCATTTTTATTTACTTTAAAAGTTGAATGTATGATATTTTCCAGGTGGCCTTTTCCGACTATTGTCCATATATGTTCATTTCTGAGGCATCATTACAAGATTTAAATTCACGCCTGGAAAATCCCGTCTCAATGGATCGTTTTCGTACAAATCTAATCATGTCAGATGTATCTAAAGCATATGATGAGGTATATTTCTGCTTATTTGCTGATTAACTTAAAGGCTCATGCTCATTTGCATTGTGATGTACACATAAATATTATTTATATTTATTTGAGTTATGTGCGGTTTGGAGTCGCTTGATCACTACTTTAACCCAATATGTTATATCAATTATTGGGTTTACATGATTTCAACATAATTCTTACAGAAACATTAGTTAATCTATCTCAATTTAATACTATATTCTTATACAAAAGGGGTCCCTATCGCTAAGATATATATTACAATAGACAATATATTTTATATATGTTTTACTTACTTTAGTTGCAGTACATTAACCTGTTCATTACTTTGGTTGGTGCTGGGGAGGCTGGTGGGCTTTCCATGCTATGAGTTCACAAACTGATTCCCGCCAAATGTAGTCACGTGACATTTCTTCCTTATCACATTGTCTATATAAATTAACTCACCTATGCACTTGTGCCATCTATACATCACTTACGAGATAGATTTAACTGTATGAATATCTAGTGATCTGAGACAACTCCAAAACACATAAATATTTATATTTCATATAAGTCATATCTTTTGAACTAAAATAACAATGCAAATTAAATTAAGCATCAGCCTTTAAGTAATTGTGTTACACTTTACATTGCAAAGCAACTCTTGTTATTTAAAGCCATCATTTAGTACATGTATATTGTATATTCAACAGAATTTCAAAAATATACAATATATCTTGAATCCTCCTTCAGGGGTGGACCTGTAAATCAAAAGGAGGGGCCCCAAAAACTTCTGTGGAAAAAATGTGTGCCCCAGTTTTGAAATTTTTGCCCTAAATCTGATAATGTGGGCCCAATTTTTTAAAAAATGCCAAAAATTGAAAAACTAACTACTGGAATAACATTCCCTCAATTATGCACTGAGTTTGACTTTGTTACAAAAGCATATAGTTCCTGTATTTATTTGTGACGTTAATGTTACAAACATTAGCATGACATGAATGAGATTCACTAGATTTATGACGGCTTGAATAAAAAGATTGCCTTGCGATGAAGAAAATGAATTAATGAAAATAAAATGATTAAAATCTTTGATCTAGGATAAATGGATAAATTCTTACATTGGGAATGCATCATTTTGGAAAATCAAAAACTGCAATAGGTAAATATATCACACACAGGGCTGGGTTCAAAACTCACAATGGCTTGAACATGTTGAAAGCTTCATGTAATGGCAATGACACCGATTTTGACACAAATTTTCTTGGCAATCCTACCCAAATGAGCTAATACTGTATAAGTGGTATTTAATCCGAGTGGTTTACTTGCGATGCGGTCAAATTTTATCATTTTCCTAATCTTAATATTCCCAATGACAAGAAACTTCCCATAAGATAACATTATGAAGATAGTATTTCTTACATTTAATTTTCTGAACCTGGCATAAAAACAGCCAAATTAATTGATTAGGCAAAATCACCACTTATTTTTAGCTCTAGCACATTAATATGGAGATGTAGTGACACTAGGTTAAATGCAAATGATTTGTAAGGGCGAAAGACTGATTTTTAAAAGCCCAAAAATTACCTTCAATTTTGAATGGACATGAAGCAGGGGCAGATCTGGGAACCAACAAGGGGGGCCAAATTTCTGGTCAGAGAAAAAAACGTCCGGCTTGCTCGGGAAAAAATTTTGAAATTCAAAATTAAGGTCTTACAAGGCTCAGTAATGACCAAAAAGGCCCACTTTTTGGGTCCTTAAGGCCTTTTTTGCTCAAAATCATTTTTGTCAGTAATATGTAATGGTGATTATCTTTCAACCTTGTGAATCCTGATCGCTTGTAGATAAACATATTGTTTAAAGGTATATTCCTTCCAACTTTTCCAAGCTACTACATGTATCTACTCTAGTTAATAAAACCAATTACATATATCGCTTATCCATATTTGGTAAAAAATATTTGAAAATTTTATGGTGGTTTTGGGTCGAAATTGACAATTAAAAGAGGAGCACTCATTTCCAATTCAGACAGGAAATGATGTCATCAACACTAATATTCTTATAACAACAAGAAAACTAGTACAACTTTATTCTTACTCAAATCTCTAGCTGGTTTTGTGTTATTTCATGATCTTGAAAATATATATGCAAATGACATCTTGTGGTAGCCAAGTTGAAATGAACAGTTCATTTTAATTGTCAAAAACTGTCATATGTGACCTAATCAAAGCCCTGTGTAAAATGGATGATGTATAATTGGTTGTAGCAACCATATTAAGACAACGAAAACTCACTTTAACTTAAAGGCAGAATCAGATCTATGGGTGTGACAAAATTACAAGCAATAAATACAACAGACCTACCAATCTATTCCTTACAATCTCAAATACAATATCTCCCAAAAGATTTTCGATATGTTATAAATTGGTAAGTTATAATGGATTCAAAGTGCAAAAATATGTGAAAAATGTCTAAATTCTCCCAAATAATAAGAATGGTAACCATTCTAATAGAAAAAATAATACATTATTGTAAAAATCTTTAGTTTTCCTGAAGTAAAGTGTGCACTTAGGGGATTTTTAGAAAATAGAATAGAATGGAAAAGGAATGACATAAGCCAGAAATATTCTTAAATTGGAACTATTTATTTTAGGTTGATTGCTAGATCTGATTCTCTCTTTAAAGGCTTTATCCTTTTCACTCATCCTTTGTAGATGTAATTCATTCATTATCATATTTGCTCATTTCCCTCTCTTGCTTTATTAGGATACATGGAGGACCGCATTCATAGATGACGTTCATTTCACATTTTTGAAAGAAGGAACAAGGTACATATTTATGCACTTATAATATGCACTTACATGTTTATGCACTTATAGTATGCACTTACATATTTATGCACTTTGTGCAGTACTGTAGTTAATTTCTATATACGAATTCATGGCTGCATTTATTGTTGAAAGGAGCATGAGTGCTACCTTAAAAAGATGATCTAGTGTGTTAGTGTTTTAATTATTCCATGAATAATATTTTAACATTCAGTGCATTAACAATATATATTACATTTATTAAAGCAGTAACATGTTTAAAAATTGATTTTTTTGTTTTCGTTTGTGATTAATTTACACACAGGTAAGAATCGCTCACCCTACCTGCATTCCTTTTATAACATCACATCAAGTTGTCTGCTTTCTTTTCATGAAACCTAATTTGATACATTTTGATGCACTGTAATTTTATTAGTTTTCATCATCTGCATATTTAACACATTTAATACTGTGTATGTGAGTTTGCTTCATTTAAGAGCAAATCTTTGATCATACTGTACATGTACCTTTTAAATTGAATACTACTGTATTTGCATCCCAATTCACCACTAAGCCTCATTCATAGTTTAGTCATGGGGGTCTGTTGAAAGTCCATGGTTTAGTTTAATGATATTCTATTTCTGTTTCATAAGTTCTACTAAAATATAATGCTTAAAATCAGACTCTGTCTTACGAGTGAGACACCATACTTGTATACTTGAACATGTACATTATAGTCATTCAAGGTAAGAGCGCAGCTTTTTTGGAAATTATCACTCAATCCACATCCTTTGGTCTCATTATTCATAGCCATTGGCTTTAAGAAATGCATAGAGCTTAGGTATCCATCACAATTACATGTACACTCTACTCTAAATGTACTTGTAGGTGTATTTTCATTACAATTGATCCAGAGAAAGGCGAGAAAGACAAAGCAGAGCAGCCATTAAAGATGCTTAGGAGGTAAATAGTTATTTGTCATCTTCACATATGTCTTTCTAATCAGTTCTTGATTGTTCAGAAATTTGTAAAAATTTAATTCAGAAAAGCAATAAATTACTTATTGATGTATTTCAGTTATCGCTTGCAGCCAGAGGTTTACGGGAACTCGCCATGTTTCGGAATCAACATGGTGCCAGACTCAGTGGGCACAATCAGAGTGGGTGACCCCATCAGAGCTTACACAAACTAATCAACTCTTGACAATGGCAATTCATTGAGCTTCTGCTGCTGCAGAACAAGTTGGTTTCAATTGTGTCTGATTTTCACTGGTGGGCCTGCTTGTTAATTTAACATGATTCAAATCATTTGATTTTACAATTGAGTCACAGTGATCGTGAATCAATCAAATCAACATTTTGTTGAACATTTTAAAAATTGGTAAGAAGCATGGAGGCTACTGAATGATATGCAGTACTGTATTTGCAATATTTACAATGTGTGTTATTCACAATAGAATAAGTGGGTGACAATCCAGTGTCTTTGGTTTGATCATGATGTAGCTATCAAATCTATAGGACAGTCACATAATTTCCACTGGTAACATGTTTATGTACATGTACAGGGTGTCCCGAAAGTATGGGGTCCCCCCTAGGCAGACATATACCAGTGTCATCATAGTATCTGTCATATATCATTTTAATCTTATCCAAAGTTACATTGATTCACCAAATATCATGGTTCAACTCTCAAATGTGAAAAAATTACAAGTATTTAAAAATTTAGTGTTTGGTCAAAGTTAAGTATAATTTTACACCAAATCACTAGTCAATGTGTCCTCCCGGGCCATCTTAACAGCAGCAATTCTTTTCGGATTGGATGGATATTGAGTTGGAAAACGAGAACGGTGAGGGTAGAAACTCTAAGGAAACTCTTCTAAAGTCCCTTAACAGGTTTTAAGAGGGTTATAAAGTTCCACACTCCTATTTGAAGGACTTTTAAGGTCATATCTGAAAATAATTGCCGCTGTTAACACGGTCAAGGGGGGACACATTGACTAAATGTGGTGTAAAATTGAACTTTATTTTGACAAAACACTAACTTTTAAAATGACTGTAACTATTTCCCATTTGGGAGTTAAACCATGATACTTGGCAAATCAATGTAACTTTGGACAAGCTTTAAAATGATATATGACACATACTATGAGGACACTGGAATATGTCTGCCTAGGGGGGGCCCCATACTTTCGGGACACCCTGTACATAAAAGGTCATGTTGACATACAATAATGTACATGTAACTCAAATAACTCAGGACTATTTTTAGTCAGTCTTTTCAAGACAATCACTGAGTGATTTTAAGTATGGATGTATGTATAAAGTAAGGAATATATTTTTAAAGCAAATTTTTACATATAAAATATTTTAAATAAGCAGCATTAAAATATATGACAGCATTAATCACTTGGCAAAAATCATGTGGCAACTCAGGAAATTGACAGAGAATATTGATCATGTGCCAAAAATCATGTGGTGACTCATGAAATTGACATGGAATATTGATCGCATGGCAAAAGTCATGTGGCAACTCAGGAAATTGACAGAGAATATTGATCATGCGGCAAAAATCATGTGGCAACTAATGAAATTGACAGATAATATTTATCATTTGGCAAAATCATGTGGCAACTCATTAAATTGACAGAGAATATTGATCATTTTGGCAAAATCATGTGGCAACTAATGAAATTGACAGAGAATATTGATCATGTGGCAAAATTCATGTGGCAACTCATGAAATTATCAGAGAATATTTATCATTTGGCAAAATCATGTGGCAACTCATGAAATTGACAGAGAATATTGATCATTTGGCAAAATTCATGTGGCAACTCATGAAATTATCAGAGAATATTGATCATGTGGCAAAAATCTTGTGGCAGCTCATGACTTTGACAAATAATATTGATCATGTGGCAAAAAGTCGCAAAGTAATATTCTACATCTAAATATTCATGCATATATTAGTTTTTATATTAAATTTTAAACCATACGGTTTTAATTGATAAGTGACAGTTATAGGGGCATAAATGTTTTATTGTGTCTAGGAATGTGTAATATGGTATGACTAATATTTGATAAATGTTGTAAATTAAATATTTTATTGTGTCTAGGATATGTAATATGTCATGAATGTATAATATTTGATACATGTGTATTTTGAGTGTAAACAAAATTAGGAGAGTTAATGGCAAGGAAGTTTGTTAGAACTGCAATATTTCTATGATGATAAGCTACATGTAGCTTTTTAAATCATCCTAGTTGAAATGAAATGTGCGTACCAAACATGCATCTGTGCTACATTCCAAGAGACCTTCAATGTGGAAAAATGTAGAGAAAAAATCTTAACCCTATGAACAAGTGCATACACTTGTTACTGATTAAACACAATATATAAAGGAGCTCACACGTTTCAAACTCACTTTAGTTATTCAAGTAGATTGTTGAAACTGTTGAAATAGACCTTTCCAATAAATCCTGACCCCTATTGGTGGATCAAGGAAACAAAGGGGTATTTCTACCCATTGAGATTGAAGAATGACATCATAACCAACTTATAGGTGTCATGATAGGTCAATGCATCTTTAAATAAAATAAGAAATAAAATATTCAAAAACAACAAATCTGGAATATTTGAATTTTGTATTTAGTGTGAGTATGATTTATCCGAGCTTTCAAATTCTCAGAATAGAAAAATCACATCACACTCTATTGATGGTGCAAGTTACAGTTGCAAGTTACGGTTGCAAGTTACTGGTAGTTACAGTTTGTAATGAGTTTAAAAATTGAAGGAATGTAAAAGTATGTGAGATAAACCCACAATTAATTTATACACAAAAACCACCTGTTCGGGCTAATCGTACTGGTACTTAGTTGGATTGTGTGTTTTGGTGGGGTGTGTATATAGATGGGATGGAAGTAAGGAGTATACATAAATTGGTTTGTGGTTTTACACAATAGATAAAAACGGGATATATCCTGTTGATTTTAAAAAATATATTTTTGGCGGGATAGAGACGAATTGAGAGTAAATATTACAATAGTTTTGCTCGCATACTCATCATTCCATGTCATGCCTATTTAAATGTTCAAAAGTACTTATAATTAGTCATGATAAATATTTGATTTATATGTCATCACCATGACATATTGTTATTGTCTCCAACTTTTTGTGGCGGTGGTAATGTTATAAATGGCGTCCATAACAAATGGCAGGTGGTGACATTTTACATGTCCCACGAATTATTGGATATATGTGCCTGTGAAATTTCCATGACTTGTATATTTTATCAGACATCTCAGGTCATTTTCAGGAAAATATAATATTGCAAGGAAAACATTGATTTTTTAAAACTTAGAATTTGTACTCTCTATCCATTCTCATTCTTAAAATCGCACTGAAACATCGATCATTTCAAATCCCTTTTATAAAATTATTTATTTAAAATATATACAAATACATGACAAAATGCAGTCACCATTAAACACAATACAAATCGAACATTCATACATGTTTGAGAAGTCATAATTTAGAACTCAAAAAGACAAGCAAAAATAGTTTCATATGCCTCTTAATTCATTGCAATTTTTCAAATAAAGGAAAATAATGTTTTAGTGTAAACTTTACAGGTTTATATATATAGGTCTATTTTAAATAGATAAAACTTTGACAGTTACAGTCTAAACATGTACAATATCATTAGATCATAGATTGTCAGCTTTGAGAAATACATGTAAGATATGGAATTATAAATCTATTACATACAATATGGCTATCTGACTAGGAGATATCTATATTATAAGATCATACCAGTGTCTATACGTTAATATAAATTAAAGTCTTTTTGGATTTTACTCCCTTTTGACTTCTGGAATGCACGTCTGTGACTATCATTGATGTTATCACAATGTTATCAATATGTCTGTCTTATCGAGCTGTCACACTTAAAGCCGTGTGGGCCCACTGTTCGCTACCGTGGAAATATTAGGGTCTGACGGCAGGGCATGGCTTGGATACACGGTGAGCGAAGCAAAATAAATAGATTTCAGCAGCCCATAACAAAAAATGAATACCCAAAATTAACCACACGGTGGCGAATGGCGAGTCGACACGGCTTATGTGACAATATAATAGAGGTTCAACTCTTCAATAAAATATATAGAGGTCCAACTCTTCAATAAAATAAAGGTTCAACTCTTCAATAAAATAGAGGTTCAACTCTTCAATAAAATATAGGTTCAACTCTTCAATAAAATAGAGGTTCAACTCTTCAATAAAATAGAGGTTCAACTCTTCAATAAAATAGAGGTTCAGCTCTTCAATAAAATAGAGGTCCAACTCTTCATGAAGATAGGGTCCTAGTAGGATTGGAAATTATTACCCCTCTCTAACGGTTCAATTGTACAGCCAGGATCGAATATCATCAGAGAGTCATCGGTAGTATGACTCTTAGCACTACAATAGCAACAATTGCTATGAGTCCAATAACAATGCCTGCAAAATTCAGGTTCCTTGCAGTGATACTCTTTTGCTGTGCTCTCTTCACGTCCCCTGCCCGAGCATAATCTCTTGATTTCATAGATGTCACGATGGCTGCAATACCTGCAAAGTTTGAATTGAAATTAAAGGGCTACATATAGCTGTAATATTTCTTCATTTGTAATCATCCTTCATAATCCTAAATATTTTCAATTATCCCAACGAATGAAGTTCGAGGGGGATATAGAGAATCAATTCGTCCGTTCGTGTGTCCGGATCATGGTATCCCAAATACGGGTTGACGGATTTGATATAGGCTTAAGCCGTAGGACCTCTGCTCAAGAAGCAATTTTCATTATGGCCACTGAATTTCAAAATGGCCACCATTTTTCGGAAAATAAAATCTTTGATAACTCATGGGACTAGCTAGTTGACTGATTTGGTTCCAATTTTCAATGCATATGCATAGGGAAAAGGGAGCTTGAAAAAGGAATTTTCAAGCTGGCAGCTTAAAATCGTCTATTGAACTATGTAAACGTTAGCTATTAATGTCCTCTAGTTGAAAGTCCATGATCGGACACAACTACAATGTATTTTTGATGTCAAGTATATAATGCTTAAATTAAAAGAATGAAATGAAAAGACCACTGGGGCTGTAAGTAGGGTCTGAACGCGCGGAGTATGGTTCCATAAGAAGGAGGGAAACTGAAATAAGTCGGAAGATTCACTTTACTGTAGATTGTGAAGTGAAAAATTGGAAAAGTGAGTTGTATTTTTAACAAGACCTCCTCCACCATCGATAAACTTCACAAGGTCTTGAAGGAAGACTAGAAATTGAACTGTTGGGGTGCCATTTGTCAATTTAAAAATACTTTTCCGTCGTATATTAGGCACTTGAATCAGAAAAAATAATTTCTTAGAACAAGTAAAATAAAGTTCAAGATGTTTTATCCACAAATAACATATTTCATTCATTGAGTCATGAAAATGTTTTTTATGAGTAGTGTTCCACGAAATTGTTGATCCGGTTACTGCATGATTTTGCAATAAAAGTGTCACAAAAGCAATAATAACATAAATAACTCAACAGAAGTTTACATTGAATGATGAAATGTTGCTTCACTTCATTATGTTAAATTCCTTAAGTCATGAATATTGTTACGCGGTATATGGCATACATTCATGGTTGCGCGGTATTTGTGATACGGGTGAATATGCCATACTCACCTGCGGTATATGGCATATTCCGCAGGTGAGTATGCGATATTCCGCAGTGAATATGCGATACATTGATTTCAGGGAATACCCGATACTCACCTGCGGAATTTGTCATACTCACTTGCGGAATATGCCATATACCGCAGGTGAATATGACATATACCGCAGGTGAAAACGTGATACATAAAGCCTTGATTTGATTGGTTGCGAGAATCGACTCTAAATGTAAAACTACGCTGTTTTACCATTATAGTTAGTGCGTCGAGTACTAATATATGAATCCTGGATTGATTGAGTAAGTTTATTACGCGAGATTGGTGACTGGTACTTCTGCTAAGTTAATATATTCGATACACAGTACTGTTGATTCAGTAATCATTACAATAATTAATAACGTTTTACTATTTCGTTCAATCGATGCAATTGACAATTGCGTACTTCCGTATCACGTTCTCATTGGTTAGTTTGTATGCCATATACCGCAGGTGAATCTGTCATACACCGCAAGTGAATATGCCATATTCGTTGCGGAATATGACATATTTTTGTATCGTGTTTACCGCGTAACAAATATGCACCCGTAGTGGTTCGAGCGAACTCCCCCCCCCCCCTGACCGAAAATTCTTTCACAATCATGCAGTTTTTCATCATTCTGAGCACTTTTCTAGTGATTTGGGCCATTTTTGGACTCCCCTGGATTTCTTTAAAAAGTGACCTCCCCCCTTGGAAAATCTTGGCTACGGGCCTGATATGTTTACTTGATGGATCAAGATGGCTTCACTTACCAAGGCAGAAACAACAACAAATTGTTGTAAATATAGACCAGGCGAGATAGTCGGGTGGTGGGGCACCGACATTCACAGCCATCCCATTCTGCATTGGCTGCGTTGTGATGACGACCTGATTTGTTTCCGCAGCGTAGCTCACAGGGTTACCGGTATATGGTTGACCGTATTCAAGTCCTTCTGGACCAGATAGAGCCCCCTTTTCGCAATATTGAGGCTGAGGCCAGGCTTGACCATATTGTTGCCCCGCTTGACTCCATTGCGCCCCTGCTTGGCCATTTAGTTGAGGGGGTGATGTCCCAGAAGCCTCCGCGACGCTGTATGGTGGAGGTTTTACCTCTTTGTCCTCAGTGGTTTTAGTGTCGTTGTTTGTGGCATCTACCGATTGTGCATTGTCCATCTGAAACGGATTACTTTTCCTTAAATAGTGATAAACTTTAGTTAATCAACAGATATCTTTAATTGAGCTCGACGAAAAACAATTTCTGGTCACTTCAAAAATGACAGTGAATATTCTAAGATTGGTTTTTCTCACAACTCATTTTTTGATGTTGCGGGACTCATTATATCATTTCTCGTTTAGCTTGAGCGAACTAAATGAGATATAAGATCAATGTGTGAGTTTTACGTTTACAAGATAATCATCGTGGTTCAAGCGATCGGTTTAGACTCGGAAAACTCCGGAGAAAAACTCTAAAAACTAGATTTTCTACCCCTTCGTTCTGTAAATAGTTCAAAGAAAATTTCCAGTTACACGTTCCATTCATTGACCAAGTTTTCACCTTACTTTCTGGCAAAAGCTTTCAAGTGGTACCGAATATCGATTTTAATTCATTTTGAAATGGCGGGAGTGGTGGTAGGTAATACAACATTTTCCCGTTCTTGTGAATAAAAGGGGTCGCCTGCGTTTATTTTTGCCATCTAGAGGACTTTTAAATTGCAATTGGATTATTTCATATTCGCAATCATGTTTAATTTGATTTAGATCTGGCTTTAAGTGTTTTTACCTTTAGTGGTATCTTAAGGGAAAAGATGAAAACGGCATTATACCTAATATCATATATATATATTTATTTATATATTAATCGTATATAAAATATGGTTATATGAATTATCTAAAAAAGGTCCGAAATAATTAAATGTCATAAAACTAGTTTTATTTCAAATTATTAAGTACAACATTAAATTTGTACAAGGACGAAGAAAAATTGTCGCTTTTTGTACTAGGACGAAGAAATGTCCTAGTTTTCTATTACATACCATAAAAGTATGTATGTTAAATTGACCTTTTCTACAACGTTATCATGGAAACATTAAACGAACTTACCTTTATTCCTTTGCTATTAACGTATTGCTATAGTTACGTAAAATGAATTATTTCACTTGAATTGAATTGATTTTGTGCGTATCGTTATTTCTGTATAGCCGCAAATGTAAATGTATTTTTCTCTTATAACCCGATTCGGGTGGCACGTATTTATATATTTTTATATATTGACATGTTCAACAATTGCTCAAGATCAAAATTCTTAGATTTAACTTTTACTTTTTGAGTTAGATTGATCATCAACAGCAACTTGAGACATGTTTTAACCAATCGTCGTTTTTCTGCGTTTTTGGTATGTTTATTTATGTTTTTGGTGGTGTTACCGAAAAAGGCCAACGATTTCTAGGTAAATAACCCACCACCAACAGTCGTAGTCAGGAAATGAAATATCAAACTAAATAGTTGAACATCGAGCCAGCTTTGATAAAAAAAAAACTTAACCTGCCCAACCTTTGGCTTTCCAAGATAGTCTCTATTTTAATCTTTATTTGGATGGACTAACTGTTTTGCAAATACGTGTACCTAAATGATTTATAGCACCCATAGTACATTTCTGAATTCTTAATTGTTTTTGTTTACAACAAAAATGTTTATCTGGAGTTCACTTAAATATGATATGTACTTTTAAGTGGCATTTTTCTACTTCTGCTGCTAGTTATCAGTTATCCTTAAGGAGGGGGTGAGTTTATGATTTACTCTACTTTTTTAGGTTCGTTATCAGTCAGTAGTGTGCGACCAAAAGTCTTTCAAAAAATGATTTTTCCGAAAGGTATTTATATTATCTAAATATCATGGCACGTCTTTCATTTAACATCACATTAATTGACATAATCTTGAACAACATGATCTTAACTTAAGCATGCATCTTCACCTCATTCAGTATATAACTTAAATAAAAACAGAAAGGAAGTGAGGCATTGGGCCTTGAGACAAGACTAATCGTGATATTTATTTGATCAAACGATTAAAGTAGTGTTCAAACCAATGAGAGGTTTTCAAGAAGTCATTGACTTACACTACATTGTCGACCTGCCTGTATTGTCGTGTTGACGTTGTTACGTGTTATGTTTATGTATTTCTTGTTGTTTGTTGAGACGGCTTTTTCTTGAAATCGGTCAAGACGATATTTCGAATAAAAACATCGACAACACCAGATTTGTCGTTTGTTGAACTTTGTCAGACTTGCCAACCTAAAATGAAAATTTTTCGGGAGATTTAAAAAAAATTGCGGTACTTTTACGGGAGTTTTTTTACAAATCCGGTAGTTTTTGCGGGAGTTTTTTGAAAAAAAGCGGGAGTTTTTACGGGAGATTTTTCAAAAAACGGTAGTTTTTACGGGAGATTTTAAAAAAACTGGAGTTTTTGCGGTAAATTTTGAAAAAACGGGAGATTTTGAAAAAACGGGAGTTTTTACGGGAGATTTTTAAAAAAAGGTATTTTCGCGCTAAATTTTTAAAAACGTGACTTTTTTACGGAAGATTTCAGAAAAAACGGTAGTTTTTACGGTAGGTTCTGAAAAAACGGGAGTTTTTACGGTAGGCTTTGAAAAAACGGGGGTTTTTGCGGTAGATTTTTAAAAAAAACGGGAGTTTTTACGGTAGATTTCTGAAAAAACGGGAGTTTTTACGGTCGATTTTTGAAAAAAACGGGAGTTTTTACGGTAGATTCTGAAAAAACGGGAGTTTTAACGGTAGATTTCGGAAAAACGGGAGTTTTTACGGTAGATTTCGGAAAAACGGGAGTTTTTTCGGTAGATTTCTGAAAAAACTGGAGTTTTTACGGTAGATTTCGAGAAAACGGGAGTTTTTACGGCAGATTTTTGAAAAAACGGTAGTTTTTACTTTAGATTTTGAAAAACGGGAGTTTTTACGGTAGATTTTGAAAGAACGGGAGTTTTTACGGTAGATTTCGGAAAAAACGGGAGTTCTTACGGTAGGTTTCTGAAAAAACGGGTGTTTTTACGGTAGATTTTGAAAAAACGTGAGTTTTTACGGTAGATTTCTGAAAAAACTGGAGTTTTTACGGTAGATTTATGAAAAAACGGGAGTTTACTTTACTTTTATAATCTGCGTGAGGTTCCATTTTTAGGTTCGGTTTTTCGCGCATGAGCATTAAATCCAGCGACTTAATTGGTTGATATTATTATGACGCATGCGCAGTTAATAAATTAATTAGAACTTATAATCTAAGATAGATGTCACTTACGTTCATTATTTCACAGCAGTCCCCACCCATAATGCGCCTTATATTGCGGGAATATTTTGTTTAGCGCCATATAAAAACAAAATCTATTCTCCCGACAGAAGTATGACAGAATATGAACTGGCCCCCGTTTGTGGACATTTGGTGTGCAAACTTATACCGAACTGGTCGCAGAAAAGCGATTTGAATCATGGGAATGAAGTACTTTTAAGTTATTTATGAAAGTATCGATAGTGAACCATGGGAGCCAGCGTGCCTGCAATAATCAAGGTCACAAATTTGTCAAATTCCTTTTAAATACGGTAGATTTCGACAGCAAAAACGGAGATTTTACGGGAGTTATACCAACAATACGGGAGATTTTACGGGAGTTATACCAGAAAACGGGAGATTTTACGGGAGTTATACCAAGAATACGGGAGATTTTACGGGAGTTATACCAGAATACGGGAGATTTTACGGGATATTTCAGCAAAAATACGGGAGATTTTACGGCCATATTTTAAAAAAAATTACGGGAGATTTTAGTAGAAATACGGTACGGGAGTTTACGGTAGTTTTTACGGGAGAAAACGGTACGGGAGTTTGGTATTTTTTACGGATTGGGAAAAACAAAAGATTTACGGGAGATTCCCGTAAAAAACGGGAGGTTGGCAAGTCTGACTTTGTTATTAATTTGATTTGGAAACTAGAAAACGTCAATTTCAAGTCATTCAAAAACAGATCTCATCAAAATAATTTTTTCTAACGATATTTCATTTACATTACCATACACTAGAAATACCAAAAACTATATGAAAGACATTTTATGCTAATATGAAACATAACCTAATGAAATATCTTCATTTTGCATGTAGGGAATATACCAGGCCTCTTATCTAATTTAGTATTTTCCATTACCATAATTAATTTATCGTATATTTTCACCAAAACCTAATTCATATAATATAGTATTTGAATAAAAAGAGTAAAATAGTATGAAATAATTAATGTTTACCTTGTTCCTCGTTACGACAATTTTTCTTTTTATTCGGGTTTGAATTGAATATAATGTTATCCCTAATGTATCAAAATGAAAAGATCTACTTAATGACGTTCTAGAGATGCGTTGACGCCTTTATACCTCAGATTCAGGTAAATATTTATTTAGGATTGATAATTAGTTATATGGAACCTGGCTCTGATTCATATTTCCACATTTCCAATAAATGAACGTGCAAATATACAGGTATCTTGGAATTCAACCCGGAAGTTGCATTTTCACACAGTACTAATGACGGTCGTTCAATCTACGGTCAGAATGTTCCTTTTAATAATGCTCGAATAAAAACATCTCAAAATCAACTTATTTATTTAGTGTTAAGGACTGGACACTTGAAATATTTATGACGGATCATGTCGCCTTGTAAATCATTGTGACAAAAGCATGAAGTACAAACTAAACAATCATGTATTTTAATTCATTCATTACTGGGGCAAAAGACCTATAATACTGAGGATTTTCACAGTTGTAAGAGGCAAGGACGTCTATCTCAGATACTTGGGCTTTGACAGACGTCCTTGTAAGAGGTAAGTAAACTCCCATTCAAGTACAATGTGCCCATTGTAGGATCCACAGCCTTTACTATCCTTTTGGAATAGTTCAGAAAAGCGTTAGGTAAAGAGGGACTATGATAAATCAGAATGCAATGTGCCAGTGATGAATAAAACTCAACTCCGTAAATAGTCTTGCCCAAAGACTGTATCCCCCCCCCCGTCACCTTCACTCTCTTTACCTGGCAATATACCTAGAGAGAAGGATAAAGGGGGGAGTACAGGGTCTTGGTAACCATGTTTACGAAAACAAAATATAAAATATGTGATTCATATTATAAAAAATAAACACGTTCGTCCTAGTAAATACTCAGTTCGCATATTTATGATATGCTTTAAACCTTTTGCAGGATTAGGACGTTTTCTGCAATACATTTAATTTGCATATGCTGTTTAAGAAAGGGAACCCTAAGAATTTTAGTAAGGCCCTCATTGACCATATTGAGGAACTAGTTGACTGCATTTATATCGCTCCAATTATTTAACCTTAAAGTGCCTAAAGACGATTGGTAGCAGCTCTTTTATATTGAGGCCCTAGTTGACATTGAGGCCTTATCATGCCGCTTCGATAATTGAGGCATTGGTTGACTTATGGGGGCCCGGTTGGGGGCATTGGTTGACTATATTAGACCCTATAGTTGACCGCCTTCCCTAAGTTAAAGGGATGTGTTACACCAAAGGAACTTAGCCATTCAATTGAGGGCAAAAATGGAAACAACAGAATTCCCAAGGCCATTATATAGACAGTACGGAGACCCAAGTTGATTAGATTGAGAACCTGGTAGCAGTTTTCCAGTTTTCCTACATAATTTTTTTTTTCATGTGGATAGATATATATTAAAATTATTTTAAGATCTCTTCTAATACATGCAATGTTTTACATATATTTTAGAGTAAAAGAATGAACATCCTCCAATCACAGGGCTTTAAAATCCAGAATATCTTCTTACTTTTTGGAGGTACGGATTCTGTACACCTGCTTAGGAGGATGAAGAATCACAGTCTTGGTGAAAATCGAGATTATCTATAATTTTGAGAAATTGTAGAGAATTATATATTAGCAGTTCAGATTCAGATTCAGATATTTATCACTATTTTGAAAAACATACATGACATTCAATACAACATGACGCTCTCTCTGCAATTGGGACACTATTCCATCATTTACTTCTTCTATGATTTTTAATGATCAAAATATTCTATCTAAATTTTTCACCAAAATCCGCCTAGAGTATGTTCTTTGCTAGGCAGACTTCAAGGATGAAGCCAGGATCTAAAATTTGGCGATGCAAATGAGTCAAAAGCGAAATAACATTTTCATAGGACTTCATTTTCAGAGTTTTAATTGAAACGTCGAAATTACTAGTAATAGAGGCAATTTCCTCGCCTACCTCATGCCAGGCTACGACCGTGCATTCGCCAATGATATTGTCGACCTCCTAATGTAACATAATTACTTTCAACCTGCTGGTTATTTCATGCTCTGCACGCATGATGACCTGGATACTCCGCATCATGTACAGGTATCCTGAAGGAAGAAATTATTTTACTCTCATGAATTCGAGGATTGCTCATTTCCAAACTAATTTCGTATTTTTCATTTTAGAGTAATCCATTACAGACTTGCCAACCTAAAATGAAAATTTTTCGGGAGATTTAAAAAAAGTTGCGGTACTTTTACGGGAGTTTTTTTCAAAATCCGGTAGTTTTTGCGGGAGTTTTTACGGGAGATTTTTGAAAAAAACGGTAGTTTTTACGGGAGATTTAAAAAAAACGGGAGTTTTTGCGGTAAATTTTGGAAAAAAACTTTAGTTTTTACGGGAGATTTTGAAAAACGGGAGTTTTTACGGGAATTTTTAAAGAAAGGTAATTTTCGCGGTAAATTTTAAAAACGTGACTTTTTTACGGAAGATTTCAGAAAAAACGGGAGTTTTTGCGGTAGGTTCTGAAAAAACGGGAGTTTTTACGGTAGGTTTTGAAAAAACGGCAGTTTTTGCAATAGATTTTTTTAAAAAACGGGAGATTTTACGGTAGATTTCTGAAAAAACGGGAGTTTTTACGGAAGATTCTGAAAAAACGGGAATTTTTACGGTAGATTTTTGAAAAAACGGGAGTTTTTACGGTAGATTTCTGAAAAAAACGGGAGTTTTTACGGTAGATTTTTAAAAAACTGGAGTTTTTACGGTAGATTTCTGAAAAAACGGGAGTTTTTACGGTAGATTTTGAAAAAACGGGAGTCTTTACGGTATTAAATCCAGCGATTTAATTGGTTGAAATTATTATGACTATGCGCAGTTAATAAATTAATTAGAACTTATAATCTAAGATAGATGTCACTTACGTTCATTATTTCACAGCAGTCCCTACCCATAATGCGCCTTATATTGCGGGAATATTTTGTTTAGCGCCATATAAAAACAAAATGTATTCTCCCGACAGAAGTATGACAGAATATGAGCTGGCCCCCGTTTGTGAACATTTGATGAGCAAACTTATACCGAACTGATCGCAGAAAAGCAATTTGAATCATGGGAATGAAGTACTTTTAAGTTATTTATGAAAGAATCGATAGTGAACCATGGGAGCCAATCCTTCTTGGAGTAAAAGAAAGAAGCGTGCCTGCAATAATCAAGGTCACAAATTTGTCAAATTCCTTTTAAATACGATAGATTTCGACAGCAAAAAACGGAGATTTTACGGGAGTTATACCAAGAATACGGGAGATTTTACGGGAGTTATACCAGAAAACGGGAGATTTTACGGGAGTTATACCAAGAATACGGGAGATTTTACGGGAGTTATACCAGGATACGGGAGATTTTACGGGAGGTTTCGGCAAATATACGGGAGATTTTACGGCCATATTTTAAAAAAAATTACGGGAGATTTTATAGTAGAAATACGGTACGGGAGTTTACGGGAATTTTTACGGGAGAAAACGGTACGGGAGTTTGGTATTTTTTACGGAAAAACAAAAAATTTACGGGAGATTCCCGTAGAAAAACGGGAGGTTGGCAAGTCTGCATTATGATGAAATTCAGCAAGACCAGGCTTTGGGGGGGGGGGGCTTTGTTCAAGATCCGTAACAGAGTCAACACCCGGGGGGTTCACTGTATATAAACTTGGACGGGGATCCTCGGCGCGCATGGGGTACCTTTTTTGACATTTGGTATGGCAATGGAGCCGAATTTTGGGAACTGATATGAGAATGCCTCCACATTATGGCTTTTGAGGTATGGCAATGGTCGTATTTTTCCACTTTCTGGTGTGAGAATGGTTGTGGAAAATATGTAACCTCACACTTGTGGTATGCCATTGGTCTAGAAGTTACACATCATATCCTTAATTTGAGGTTGATTTGGAACGTTTTCCTCAAAAATTGCCTTTTTCTTGGGACCTTCTTTAGTTTAAACATTAACTTTTTCCCTGGAAAAAATCTACTTTGGACCAATCATATAACTGGTATATGTGGCATATATATGCCATATATGGCATTGGTCCTATATTTAGACATTTGGTATGGCATTGGTCTTATATTTTGACATTTGGTATGGCTTTTGGGCATTACATTGGTTGGTATGGGAACACATCCAAAGGAGCACGTGGGTTATCGCAAACAATTTCAGAAGGTTATATCTTGGATTATGACTATTTTCTGACAATGAAGACAAGTTTATCTTTTGGATCAATTCATTATCTCAAAGAAAATTATGCACAGTAATAATAAATTCAAACAAACTCGGAGATATTTAACCCATCAACACACTTTTCAAAGATGTTGACCCCATTTTCACAGATTTTTTGATCTATCAAATAGTTCTTGAAAGAAAAACTTAATTGCATCAAGATAAGTGTTCCCCATGTTATTTCTCCATTGAAAAATCTCATGCTATTCATTGGTTTCAGTTCATTTTGGTCATCCAAATTCAATATCTTTAAAGTCCCTGGAGCAATCAAATTTTAGGAAATCGAACATGTCTCAAAGCACATTCTAATTATGCATTCAACAATATAATAATAGGTTGCATTTTTGGTGAAAATTAGGTCAACATTTTTGAAAAAGTATGTTAATTGGTCCATTGCCCCTTCAATATCACTTAGGTCTGATTAACTTAATTATCATTATATATATTTTTCTTGAAGATAATGAATGGATCTAAAAGATACAACCATGTTCATGATCAGAAAATATTCATAATTCAAGTTAGAATCGTTTGGAATTGTTTGCGATAACCTACGTGCTCCTTGGACAAATTGGTAAGGGACCACCGCCGAATTGTGTACACAGTGAACCCCCCGGGAGTCAGCAGAGGAAACATTAGATTTCTCAAGAGATGAGGAAGAATTGACTGTTCAAACTTAATATATTATTTGAAAATGTAGCATATGCAATATGCAAGCCGAAGATAAAGGATAATGATGAGAAAAGCATGCATTGAACGGTGGCATGTGGAGTGAAATGTTAAAATGAAAAAAGTTATTGGATGACAGTCTAAATTAATTTGTACATGTATCATTCAGGTGAATAAAAAATAAATACTGATGCGTTTACAATGCAACAAATAATTTATTATATTTTATAACAATAAATAATAAAAAACATATAACAACAATTGGTATCAAAAACATGTCAAGAAAAGACTGTACAGTATATATTTGCTAAAGTGATATACGGATTTTTCAAGTTTCTTCCAAGTGAAATCAACTTTTTAGGCGTCAGGAACTTCCTTATTCGTTTCACAATTGACTTCTTTGGCGATTGTTGCTTTGTATTTTGTCTATTTGCTTCGTGCTTTGACTCCACTATCCTGTGGGGAGTTGGTTCTGTTACGCTAACAGTATTGTTAATGTTAACAATTTCTCTTGGGGTAGATCCAGATGATACGGTTGAATCGTGGACGTCGTGGATGTCGGGAACCGGTGCCTCATAGGACACAGCCTTCAATGCAGAGATTCCGTGCTTTATTTTAGGCATAGAGGTCAAACGTTGGCGCCGCATGGTATTGTAGATCTTAGAATCAATGTCAAAGAAATCAACATCTGTCAGGGATTGTCTCAAAGGACGAGTGCCCATTCTAATCTTAGGTGATCTACAGACGCTTCTTGCTTCAATACAACCAGTTGTCCCAATAGACGGACTAGTTATCAGTGAGGGGTTAATCATCGCAACAACGACGACGACGTCTTCTGTCAATCTTTCTGAGTATTCCTCATTCGTGTTGACAAGGGGCGTCGGCTCCTGTGCATGGTCACCTTTGCCAGTCTCTTCAGCTTGCACTTGCGTTGATGGAGCCGCATGGGAACAACCAATGACCCCTGCAATCAATAAAATCAAAATTAGTTAGCGGGCCTAGTTAGTAAAATAAAATTAAACACATTATTTAGAAATATGATTTAATAATGGTATGTATGTATCTTTTATTCCCCAATTCATCATTTGAGCATTTAAATATAACATTTATATATACTTATTTTTATCCGTCCCACAACTATTTTGTACAAAGTAACTCTACATAGTTCGCCTTTTTTATGTTACATTCGTTTGAGAATCGAACTAAAAAAATTAGAAACTATCGGAAGACTAGTGTCGAAAAAGTTACAACAATTACCTTTTAGATAATCTTCTAAGTATGTAGCATTTCGTATGACATCTAGTGTGAGGGCCAAACATGCTGATATACGACCAAGTAGATTGACAATACTCTGCATCAAACTGTAATAAATAAGATCATCATATATGTTGAATATTCCCGGTGATTTCAATAACATGCTTAAATCGTGATTCTGTCGATATATACTGTATAAGCAAAAAAATATCGGCTGGAATAACAAACCTGCTGAGATTTTAAAAACATTCGAGAACAATAAAAGAAACCAAGAAGAGAGAGAAAGAAAAAACTGACTTGTGAGAGAAAAGACTTTCGAATACGGAAAAATTTGCATTGTTGAAGAGTTTTAAGCTTTAATTTAAGCCTACCTCGTAACGGTCTCAATTGCATCCGATGACACGGTCTGTATCAACGACATTATATCTTCAAGCATTACTAAACAGCTCTCAATATACAACATATTTGCTATTCTATTATTGCAGTTGTGTTAAACACGTCTTCGTAAATAAATTGCATAGACTTCTTTGTTTTGTTATGTTGCTCTTGGATGTTTGTTGTTACAGACAACCTCCATGATTTCATAATGTCTACATGACGTCACAGTGAAATAATTGATTCCAGCTCAAGGTTATGTCAATGCGACCTAAATATATTATGACGTCACGTATTTGTCGTCATGGTAGCACGAATATTGTTTTCAGGTGGAATATCAGTGTTCAGTCAATCAAGTCTTGTTAAATTAGAACTTCCCAGTAAACCGAGCTCAAAATGCCGTTTTCAACACACATGGCAGGCACGTAGGCATGATATAAAATCAGGCAGAGTCAAAAGCAAACAACACTATCATAAAAAAAGATGGAACATTTTCACATTCCTTATTTTTTACATAAAATACAAATGGAAAATAACTAATTCATTGAAAAATTAATGCCCAAAATTAGCCACACGTTGACCCCTCACGGCTATGACAGCTAATGTGACAGCTACATTAGGAACAATATATGATTGCCCAAACATTAAAGATTGATATATTATTGATGTGCATATCTGGTCAGTGCATTTCATTTTTGACGGTTTTAATCATTTAATTTCAAACTACAACATAAGAGGAATTTGAACAGAAGATGTAACCAACCTTGGCCATAAACGCTAACAGGTTTTACTGGGGGTAATTAGCTATCTACATGTTTGAGGCAGGCGAGGAACTAGCTAGTATTTTATTACGTCACCGCCACAAGTGGTGATATATTGTTTTAGTCTCCAACTTTTTGTGGACGGTTGGTGTTCGGAGTTCTATGGTTGACGTCTGTAACAAATGGCGTCTGCAACAAGTGGCAGGTGGTGATATTTTGAATGTATATGCCTATGTATTCTAATGAACTTAGGCATTACTACGTCTTATATTCTAACCTTCACAATCAATAATATCATTGTTTTTTTTTTAAAGAGAATTTTTTTAAGTGTAATTGTTATAATTTTGAAAAGGTTGATTCCGACATTTTACATTCTCTATCCCTAGCTGCCACTTGGACAGAACGGAGATTTTGACTAACGTTTTTTGATGATGCAAACCAGCAGACACATTGCGCCAAAAATGTCACAATAATGTGGCCCTTAATTAAGAACCATTGAATGATTGATATAATGATTATTAAAAGTGTATAGTCATTCACTAAAATTAATGCGTACAAACTATGAAGAGTATGACCATAATAAAGGGTGTTACTTCTTTAACGGTTGCCCGTATGTAACCCATTATGGCTCCAGGCCTACTATATTCTCTGATGCAAACATCAAACTACGTGTTTGCCCAAGCAGTTGCCAGTAAATCAGATTTTCCATTAATCTTTTTGTTAACCTTTAATGAGATTCAAAGATTACATAAATCATACTTCATATTTTCTATTAATTTTTCACTATTGTGCAATTCATAAGTTTAATCTGATTTGTGACTATTTAACCAGTTCTTGCGATATATATACATTGGAGTATGACTCTTATACTTTTTATTACCGGTTGTTTAGTGAAGCACGTAAAGGCGGGCAAAACTTATTGGAGTAGACATGTATATGAATGAAGAAGGAACGATTTAGAACAAGGATCTTAGCAGCGAAAGTGAAAAAATGACAAACGGAATATGAATATCCAAATAAAAGAAGAACGTTAACGGTCGTTCGAGTCCATGACGTCTGGCACAACTACAAATGGTAAAGAGTGAAACCACATCGATTTTTTCTTTTTTACAAAGATTTGAGAAATTGATATCGTTCAGGGTTTTTTGACAAAGATTATTTAAAAATAAACAATCTGTAACGTTCAATTAATAGTTCAGAACTTTGTCAGTAACTTTTCCTCAAATTTAAGACCTATTATTTGGATTTATAACCCAATTTTCATTGCTGTAACTAAACCCTTGTCAAAAGCAACAAAACATACAACCATACACCAGCCGTCTTCAAATATTTAATCTCTGTTTGTAAAGATACAACGTAGACTGACTCCCGAATAATGTAATTCAACACATAAGTGCAATCAACATCCCCTTAGCAAATCTCAAAAATAATATTAATTCTGTTAAACCATTGATCCTTCTGATTAATTCCAGGTACAAGAGCACAGTATTAAGGTATATAAACATTGTGGAATAATATCTTAAATGACAGTTAACAAAAGCTGGATCGTAATTGTTAGTTTTCTTTATCGTAATCAAATTCCGTATTAAGAGATTAGTATAGAACGCCAGTGGAGTTTTTGTGAGACTTTTGGCCTGCTAGTTTGAACACAGCGAGACATTGTGAGGCAACAAAAGTGAGAAGTAGTAATCCGTTATATATTACGATCTTACTCTGTTACTATATTTCAAAAGAGACCAATGTAAAGTGACATTTGAAATTAAAAAATAGTGGATGAAAAATGACTTTTAACAATTGCTCAGATATTACGGATGCACTTGACAATATACGAAAATAAGTGATGCATCATCAGGAATAGCGAATGAACAAAAATATGGTGAACCAAGGAACAAAAAGACGAACTGAACCATACAAACTATATTGGATGAAGAAAGAGTAATAAAAATAATCGACTTGGTGGGTTTAGTCGAGAACGTGAAGTTCTATATGAATAGGAATGATCACCAAACTGAAATGTGAATTGGCAAGATGAGCGATAACGAAAATGAAGAAACTATATCTGGTGCGATATACGCACTGTGTGTCCTGTCTGCAATAGGGATTGTGTTGAACACGTTATTGTTACTATTGAGGGTGCAGAAACAGCAGAAGGCCCATCCAACAACGATCAAAGTACATCAATGCATCACAGATACAATATGGATATTATTAGGCGTATTCTCCTTCTTGGTACTATTGCATAGACAAGTGGATGGCGCAGCACTCTGTAGCGTTGGAGGATACGGGGCGTTGTTCGCGCTACAGGGATTATACTGCGCTGTGGCGACCCAGGGATTTCTGATTCTGTCGTGGCAAAGAACTAACCTGTCACTGACGTTCCGATCTATTTATGTTTACTTTTATATATTGATTATTTCTCTTGAAGTTTTCACTATTGCTACCTTGACGTTCTTGCCATTGTCAAATCTAGAGTTTTTCACAAGTGAGCTACCTTTTACTATAACGTGTATTCCTCTTCGACTCCCGTTCGAACCAAACTCAGAATACTCCACTCTTCTTATTTGCTTCATGTGGCTAGGGCACACTGTGGCTTTAGCTCTTATTGTGGTGATATACTGGAAGATCTATCGGACATCCTCAAAGCCTGGATACAAGTATAGACGACAAACACTGAAAACGTTACACATATCCTTAGGATTGGATACCCTAGCTGCCACAATTGTAACGATCACATTAACAGTTGGTTACAGCGTTTTGGATGAAGGTGGAAACACTACAATCGAGCTTGTGTTAGCTGCAGTTATAGCATTGGCTGTATTGGTCCACTCTGGCGTTGGTTGGGCGTTACATTTAGGGTTACCACACACAAATTGCTGTACGCCTGAAACAATATACAGCGATACCATCAAATCAAGCGTGCCAAAGTCATTGAACTCTCTCAGTAGATTGCAACTTTCCCCGAAGGTGAGTTTGAGATTGATTGGGACTTAGGAAAATCCGAGGTTTGTCGAGATAAATTAAATAATTAAACGTCATGTGTCAACTCTGACATATATAATTGATTTTTGTTAAATACTAAAGCCAATAATAACTTTAAAGTAACCGTTTTGATTGAAACAATTTAACTTAAAGTTGTTTTAACTACTTACCGTTTACAATCACTGGTATGCGATCACTTATAATTCGATTTAGAGATAAAATCTTATAAATATTAAAGAGTCGAGTAGCCAGGACAGGGCTATCAATTGAACTCTTTAATGAAGTTTTATTAATCATATACTAGTAACTTCTATCGAGTTTAAGCCTTAAGTCATGTATTATTCAATTGTGCACAATCTCATCACTTGTGAGTCATTATCGTGTTCTTTGATTGCCATCATCGAAATATATAATATAAAGTATTTTAATGGTGTTTCACCTTGCTTTACATTCATATTTCTGACTGAGCTACATAGCCGCCATTCCGGAAATTGACTTCTCAATTCGACTCCTTTTAAAGGATTTTACTTCTCTTTTAAAGGTTTAGTTCATGTAGGGACCTCAGTCACTCTGATCAACTTTGGCTTTTTCTCAATTAATTGAAATCTAAACTTTGCTATTGTTACAAAAATTCAATAGCTTACTAGAGTGGGTTTTTATTCTCATTATTTCTTGAAAATACGCATTGCAAGTGAATTTCTGGTGACCCAAGAGGGGTAATGCCCCAGAATTCAAAGGAACCTATCTCCATGTAAAGATAAACCAAATCCACATGAACATGGATTCTGGGGTATTTCCTCTTGTTGGTAAATCCGAATTCAATGTTAAGTAAGATTCCAAGTCATAATCAAATAACAATTTCAATAAACATCTCGTCCAAGACCCATTGTAAAACAAGAAAATATATCGAACGCGTAACAGTAATTAGTCGGATTTTTGCCCTTGGTAAATAATGTCAATAAATTATCATGAATGAATAGAAATCGGGTTAATTCAAGACCTACTCGGCAACATTATTGGCCGATTATTGGCTTGTTTGGCACGACGTCTCATTAATTACCACATATCGTTAACCCAAAAACAATGTAACAATGCCCTCGAATATACGAGTCGTATGTACATTTTACAAATCCATCTTATCAAAAAGGGCCAATATGCTAGATTTTGACGTGTTTTTGTAGAAATGTTAGTGATTGCATTTCATGACTTTGTAATTAGTCCAGCACAAAGTCAGTGTGTTTTCAAGACGGCGAATTGATATCTCAAAAACAAGTACATGTGACAAACATTGATCCAAATATTGGATTCATGCATGAACATATATTTTGAACACTTACGATGTTCACGATTATTCTAAAAAATGTCACGTTGTGGTAACTACAATTAGACGAAATTTTCTGAGTTCTTAAATCTACAAATCTCTGACTGAAATAAGACCTAATGCATGCTTATGAACACTGAAAATTGATTGAATGTTAAAATAATCGAATTCGCTCTTGTTGTTCCTCTGTTGCATTATGACATCTCAGACCATGCAGAAGGCGCAATTACGCGTATTAGCCAATTTACACATTTGCCGGTGATTGTCGTTGTTTGTAATTTGTTATTCCAAACAAACGGTTTAGAAAATAAGAGTGTTAAAGACACGTTCGAGTTCATTCAAGCAAAATCGAAAATAACAAATATAACATTTTTGAGCAGGTCAGACACCTGAGCAGTTTGGCCGAGTGGGTTAGACTGTGGTAGAATGTACCGGGGGATACGGAGGTCCCGCGTTCGAGCCCCAGGTACGGAGTTGTTGATCATTGTCACTACGGACACCCGGTCCGAAGGTCCAACCGTATACCGGCCCTTGGCATGGGTTGGTTCTCTGGCCGCTCTTGTCGGAGACAGATTGTGAGACTGTGGTTGGTTCCTCCACTAACGTGCTTTGGTAGACTCCGGGAGTCATACAGTATGGTAGCGGGCCCCCACCAAGGGCAGTAGTGGAACGACACGAATCGGTCCCAGTATGGTTGCCTTGCAACTGAAGAGACTCGAGGAAATCATGCCATTCGCGGTGACCCAGAAAAGACTTTTGCACTTTGATACAAGTTTTATTAATCAAATAAAAGCATGATGGCTGTAGCGTAACCAGAACACCCTTTGAGAAATATTAAATTGTATAACTCTTATCAATTTTTTATTCACCATCATGTTCTTCTATTGCTTTTTAATGGTGTTTTATCACGTGTTTTATCAGGCGTGAACTTCCATTGGTTCATATTTCATAGTCGCCATTTTAAAATCTGAATAATGTACATAATTTTTTGTAGCGCTCCATGATGAGGCAGACGAATATTTTTCGCCTCGTCGTTTTTGAATGTTGTATTATGCTAAAATGTATAAACATTTTGATCTCATTTAATATAATTTGCGACTATATATACACCAGGTTGAAGATGTGTTAAAAGTCCGAGTCCAATGGCAGACCGACCAAGGAAGGAGACTGGAAGGAGTTATGAAGATTTACCAGCCAAGCAGACGACAGAACTGGTCCAAAGAGGTCAGGGCAATGTCCAAACTGAGTTTGATGGAACACCCAAATATAGCTACATACCTGTGGGCGGTGAACAAGAATAACTTTTGCGGTGCTCTTGAAATGGTCAGCGGGCATGGCATCAGTCAACATAGCAGGTACGCACCTCAAAGAACATTAATTTTTCAACCTTTTAGAGTTCTCAATGTCATTTTTAAATGAATCGTGTTCTCAAAAAATTAACTTGATGGTTTGAAAAAGTAAAATGTTTATTTGTTCAAATACACAAAGGGAAACAAAATCACAAGACAATACAAACCCCTAAAAATATCACATTACGGTATTGCTACAATTTTACAAAATATCGTTTTTACTTATGAAAACAAGGGCGTGGCATACCTAAAATATCGTCTTAATTATTTATTCCAGGGTAATATGTCGTCAGTATTACGAACACGGCAGTCTTCGGGACTTCCTCCAGGTCAATATAAGGAGGGTGACGGAAGCCAGTCTTCACCTTATCACACTGGACCTCGCCAACGCATCTCAGGGAGCTGAACATCCTACACAACAACCTTAACAGTAGCTCCGTTTTCATTGGTGGATCACTCGAGGTAAGGTCCTTAATATACCAGTATACATTCTTTATTATAGAGTGTGTTGAGTCAGTGATGGGTAAATGGTTGAATTACATACAGGCCCGTGGCCAGTTTTTGCCAAGAATGGAGGGCTGGCTACGGGCCTGACATGTTATCATATTTGTATTCATCGGGCAATCGACCTCATCAGTCTCCCCTCACTTTATATTATAAATTACTTTCCTCAGACCATTTGTTATTAGAGAAAATCCATACGGGGCCAGGACATATGCTCGTAGACTAATTTGTATTTATCGCAACAAGTTTGAGCGTGGATCTGCTTGTTTGGAGACATATCTGATTCGAGATTGTCATCAATTTGGCATTCCACATATTGCTCTAATTCCACTTCCACAATTGAACTGAAGATCAATCGACTGTGATTCTTTTATCTAATACCCATATACTGTATGTTTCAGAGCCTGACAATTAAGGCGGTAATTGGTGACTTTGAAGCAAGTAAAGAGGTCCAGGCGCAAGTTCCAAGATTGCCTAAGCAACGAAAGGATGCAGTAGCTGTGCTTTATTCCATTAGTAGGTAAGTGGATGGATCTGCGAGATCTGCATACTATGACAATTCCCCGGACAGTTCTTGTGTACAAACATGGATTGTGCATTTCCTCAAAACTGTTGTGGACTGAGTGTGCACGCAAAACACTGTGAACTCTGTAAAAAGACAAAATAAGCAGGAATATTCATTTAATGGATTTATATCCTATGACAAAAGGAATTGATGATATGGACATTATTTCATTTCTTCCCCTTCTTTTCAGATATATTGACAGTTTGAGTACACTGGAGCAAAACCTCTATGCGCCTGACGTCCGATCTTTTGGCTTAATCCTCCTGGAGATGTTGGCCTCATTAGCGTACCACAGACATGGCGTGAAACCCAACGGAACTGACTCCAAGGATAAAATAGTTACAAGTGAAGAGCACACTAGACTTGAACATCTACACACTAGAGAAACTGATGGTAATCTGTATGAGAGAACACCTGCAAAAAGAAATAACCCTGATGCTCGTGTAGCTGATCATGTGAAGGCAGGTGGCTCAGATGAACACCAACCCTCTCCTATACCAGATGTCATATCTAGCTGTCATAGTCCTATGAAAAATACTCTCCGTGACTATCGGGGTGCAACGAGATCTATATCACAGCAGTCTAATTCCCAGAATCCTTTTCATGAAACAACGAAGTCTATAACACAGCACTCTCTTTCCCCAAATTCCTTTCGGGATACAGTGGGATCTATTTCACAGCATTCCCAGAATTTCACTTCTGGCCTCCCAAGATCATACTCTCCATCACCATCGAGAATATCGTCAGCATCTACATGGTCATCAGCCAAGAGGAGACAATTGCCTAAGCGGCCGTCTCAGCCATCCATCATACCTCCTTCACAACTACCCACTAATGCTCGTGCATCCACTGCTACCAACCAGCCGTCAAATGATTCCCCCGATGGCTATACCATCCTTGGACCCCCTTTGAATAACAGTATTCTGACTCCACCAACTTGTTTCAAAGATAATAGAAGTCAACAAAAGAGAAGACTCCCAAATACACCTAATAGTCGTAGTGTTATGAATGCTTGGGATGTATCCTGTGACAATGAATCTTTAGCTGGAATGATGAACCATAAGCCTTTATTTACCACCAAAACTCCTAAAATGCCAAAATTCTTAGATGATACCAACTCTTCTTGTACTCCCCCTAAATTAGACCTTACCCCATATAAAGGACCAAATACTACACATGATACTCAATCTTTGGGGGCTACATCAATGCAAAGCAGGGCCTTACCACCAATTCCAATAGGAATAGAACCAATAACTGAAACATCGGTTCAAACAAATCACCAGAGCACCAAAAACTTACCAAACCAAAAATCAAACATGATTGGACACGTCAATGAATCATTTATTCCTGATTCCGACCTGAGTACGTCCGAGACGGAGAACAAGGCAATGAAAAAGCATAAGACACCATCTAAATTAAAAAATATTGCCAGAAATAGAGACCCTGTGTATTCAGCAGCTAGGCATGATCAATCGTGCTCAGATGATAGCTTTTCACTTCTCAATTCATTTGTTTCCAAGAGTATCAGAGGAAATGACACATCAACAGCCAGCGATGATTCTGGCCTCGGAACATCTTCACAGGGTACCATAAGCATATCTAAATTAGACAATATAATTCATACTGCTGATGACCATAGTGTACATAATCTAAGTAAACATACAGATGAACATAATAGTGTTACTACAGCAATGGCAAAAATTGAACCTCAAATCAATCTTCCAAATCGCACAAGAAACAATGAATCGTTTGATAGCACCAAGTGTGACACAATATATGAGACGATTACTCCTGCTGCAATACAAAAGAATGCCACAATGCACGAGTCTGATACCAATAGCCAAAATACAAGCAAGATATTTGAATCCACGGGTGATGAACCTAAAATCAACACTGATGCAATAATAGCTTCCACTCCTCACAAAATCAAAGAAACAAACAATCCCGTTGCAACAGAAGCTAGTACTAGCCAATCAGACCACTGTAATACGTTTGATACGACACAGAACACAAGTATATGGTCGCCTGGTTCAAGCAATTGGACTCCAAGTAGATCACAAGGAAGTGAGACATTAGAACTGACGTGTGTGACCCCACGTACTGAAACTCCTCTTAGTGATATTTATGAACATATAGCAGGGAGTGCCACACCGTTTACAGAAATACCAATGGCTGATGAAACACTATCAAGTCTAAACCAGACTGCAGTCAAATATCAACAATCGCCAATTACAGATGATATACAGCAATCTCCCATTGGATATAAGTCTCCTATAGGAAACATAAGTAACACTCAATCAAATATTATGCATGAGGATGTGATAAATGACACATTTGAAAACATCTCTGACGCCAACCTTGAGATAACTGACACCCCTAGTGCAAAGGTAGGCGTTTCTCGTAGACTTCAATTCAGAAAGAGATCAGCGCGTTACAGTTCACAAAATGATCTGAATAAATCACTCTTGGAAGCCCTTGGACTCATTGAAAAGACTACAACAGCAGAGGATATCAAATTAATATTTGATGACTCGGCTTTGTTAAATGGTACTACAATAGAGACGGATATTGGCCTGAATGAATCATTCGACATGTCTCTTGATTTTGAGCTCGAGGACCCTGAAAAGAAAATGTTAAATAAATCATTTGAAATTGCAGTTGGATTGAAGACTCCAGGAACTCCAGCAAAATCTTCAGATCAGAATACCGAATTGAATAAGTCATTTGAACTGGCGATAGGATTAAGAACGCCTGGAACTATTGACAAACCACTTGTACAAAACAATCGGCAAAGCCTTTTTCAGCCGTATGATACAACCTCTCGGGAAAATGCATACATGAGTAGTGGTGGTCCAAGCGTGACAAAAACTAAACGCAGCAAACGTAGACTTCTTCCCGACCTGAATGCTATTGTTAAAGACGATACGCCAGATGACATAAAACGCACTATTAGTCTACACAAAACCAGGTACAGGGAAATGGCAGTTGATAGTTTCTTCATTAATGACCCAAGCATCAGTAGCCAAACGCTGGACAATCTATCTGGTATTATCTCTCATACTGACGCTAGCACCGTTAACTCTCTGATTATCGACACTGATATTATGATTAGTAGGCTCCTCACCCCGGATGACGCTCTCAGTATGTTTAGCATGAAGTCGACATGTGTGGACAGCGTCACCAACTATGATGCAACAATTACACCAATTAAAACAGACAATATGAATGCAATAGCTGCAAAATTAACACCTTCACAGGCAATGCCTACCAAATTGAAATCCATCCAAGAAAAGGAACCGACTACTCCCGAAAGACCTCCTAAACCATCAAAGCGTAGAAATATGTTGGTTTTACCACTTCAAGTACAAAATGCACTAGCGCAGTCAGCCATTGGAGAACTAGCTGTAGGGATTGAAGACTATCATCAAATTTATTGTGAACGTCTTCATCACACGTTCCCTCTCCTAGACACCCGGGCACTCCTCTCTCGAGACACAGGCCATCTTGATGTTATAATGGGGCTCCTGAAGGTGCATGGCAAACTGGGATTCATAGGCAATCAAGTATGTAGCATGAACTGGACATATATCATCATAAATGTTGACCAAAATTGATAGGCCTACTGATAAAAATCGTAGTTTTTGTGCAACAATTAATCAAGCAGTCTCTTATAGAATGATTTAATATATTAGATTATTTGAAGTCATCAGGGAGGTTACGTAAGCAATATTTTTTAAAACGTGGATGTGAAAATTTATGGTCACCTCTGCACTAGCTTTTCCCTTCATGATCTTTACTTAACAGATTGGGTATGATGGGTTGAAGAAAATATTGAAATTGATCCCTGCATTAACAAGTGGAAAGGACAACACTCTCTTGGGGCCAAAATATCACATGTTCACGTCCATGTCTAACTCAACCTTCAGGTGTTTTTTTAAATGTACGTATACGTGTAGAATTATGGTCCTCTGTGGATAAGTTCTCACATTTGTACTGTTCATGCTTGGCTGGTTTAGTAGTAAAGGTATACGGAAAATAATTGTAATTAGGTCACCAGAAAGTGAATTAAAAGAAGAACAGTAATCCCCGGGGTTAACATATTACACGCTAACGTATACAGGTTCTCTTAAAACGTGTAACGTTACCTCCCTATTATCTCAGATCACGACTCGGCGTCCAAGTCAAACATCTCAAAACCAGATCTCACCTTTGTACAGAGTGACATGTGTCCTACATATAAACCTTATTGTTTTTCAGATTAGTGCTTTAATATTGGAATGCTGGACGTCCGATTCGGCACCTTCAGCCAGGGATATTCTCAGCAAACTCAGACGTTCTCTCCCTTCATCGCCAGTGTAATCAACGATATAGGCTAGGCACATACTGCAACTTGAGTTTAGCTGACGTTATGGAAGGCGATTATTTCCCATTTCTATCTTACGGGGGTTCATCTACAATTTAAACTATTTGAGAACTTCTACAATTTTCGTTTGTTATACAATTAGCAATTTAAAAGAAATCCAGTACATTATCAAAGAAAACATAAGCAGAGAATGAATTAATCAAGATGTCATCCCAATTTGAAATGTTTCTTTGGTTTGTGCTCTGGAGTTAATATGTGAGCCAAGTTACATCAAGACATCATCATTAAATAACAAATGTCCTTCGTGACATTACAAGACTTGATATTTAAAAATGACTGATTTTCCTAACCTGGAATATGGATCTTGAAAGGAGTGGTATCGATATGGTGAACTTTTTGAACACACGTTTCTCTTAAACCAGTTATAAAAAAAATCTAAAAATTTAACACATCTCAATTTAACGGTCATCTTTTGAATGGTCACAACATAATTTGAAAAAATACCGTGTTTTTTTACAGAATGTTTTCAATAATTGGTTTAAGAGATACCTATCTTTTCTACAAATGTACTAACTCAACAGTATTATATTTGTTTAAAATAATATTTATATTCTATTCAATAATGCATGACATTACCATGCATATTTTATATACATAAATAAATAATAATATATTTTGCATAATTTATGATGTTATATTCAATTTAATATATTCATAAGGAATACAGTTAGAATAATTTGTAAGTCATTTTTTCATTCACATGATTTTATCCATATCACATTTTTCAGATTTTTGAAATAAAGTCAGCTGAGAATACTTAATCTTATCCTATGCCAAGTAGAGTTTTAGGGAGATAAGTTGGTAAGATATATCCCGTATCCTGATTTTGAGGTTTCCATATCCTGAACCTCCATATCTCCCGCCATATCTCCCGCTCCAGGGCATATCTTCCCGCTTCGAAAACTATTTTTTTTAAATTGAAAAAAAGAAAAAAAGTGAAAAAATGAAAAAAAATAAAAATTTGAAAAAATAGAAAAAAATTGAAAAAATAGAAAAAATGAGAAAAATGTGAAAAAAAATTGAAAAAATCAAAAAAAAATCAAAAAAAATAGAAAGAAAATTAGAAAACTCTACTTGGTATAGGATAAAGCAGTTATGTACGGTCGGTTTGGATATTGGGTTCATCCCTCGTGAGATATGCACATCTACCTTCGGTCCCTACGGTCCCTCAGGTAGATATGCCTATCTCCCTCTGGATAAACCCCATATCCAAAACCTCCCAGTACATAACCCTTATTTATCTTATACACTGTATCTGTGTTCAAATCATGTGTTTTCTATATCGACATCAGTTTTTACAACTGATATAAAAATTTTACTTGGACAGGGGACATAACTATTTACAAGTCAGCATCAAGAATATATGTAAGCACAATAAGAAGTTTAAGTTATATACTAAGTATTATACATGGAGAATGATGTAGTATAACTGTAAAAGGCACCATACAAAACTTGAAAATATTTCAAATTATCCAACTTGAGAAGGAGTGAGACTTTCAACAGAAAATTGACTTCTGAAAAAACACGTGTTAATCTAAAGCTTTATCCCTAAAATAACCCAAACTTAACATATGGCATGGTAAGTAATTTCAAACAATAAGTATTTTCTCACCATACCAAGATAATAAAATTATCAATCTATAAGCCAAATATATCTAAAAGCCAGGAATTAGGACATCACCGTTTTCAATTTTTGTCTTTCTTGAAACATATTCCTTTTCTTATTATTGTATGAATAGATTTTATGCACAGGAGACCTAAAACTTCTTCAAAGTAGAATGGCATTGAAAATCTAAATTTGAAGATATAAAATTTTGGTTCTCAAAATTAGACTGAAGCAATTGACACGATTGACAGATTGATGGCATAATTTTCCAAATGGTTAGTTTTCCTCTTTTTATTGCATTTCAACATCTTTCTAATTTGAGAAGTCATTTAAATATGGTCTAAAGCAAAAATTTTGATATTTTAAAGTAGAGAAAATAACTCCAACCTTTTGAAAAAATTATTGAGATAGGGTCGGATTGATCTTATATCATATTTGGGCTCTTACTTGCAGTAAACATATTGTTGCTTGCTGAACCCGGGTTTTGATTCCCAGATCAGACGTATTGTTTGATGTGCGTTATGTAATTCTGGATGTTTAACTAAGAGATCCACAATTCTTGTAAAAGGCTGCGGTGTGTACCTGTACTTCTATGTACACTGGTGCACATAAGAGAAGACAGGCCTCTTCAAAGGAGGGGTTTCTGGCTCTGTCTTTGAGAGTAAAATATGTAAAATACAGAATATACCAGTGAGGTATTGCTCGCCAAATATGGCGGTAATTAAGATACAATACAGTTCGTTTCTGTAAATACTTAAGCTTGGAATTACTTGTCTAGAAAACTGCATGAGACATGTTAACAATTGTCATGTTGCCCAAGGTAGGTATGAAATATATTGCACAGGAGGACAGAAAATACCTCCTTTGTACTTCATTGTGTTAATAAACATTGATTTTCTGAAATTTTTAATACAAATAAAACAGGACCAAGTATAGATACCTGGGATACTCCAAACTCAATTACATTGTAATTTCAATATGTACATTAACTTGGTTTGGTTGTTCAGTACACTTATAAAATACAAATAAAAAATGATACATCAGTTACATGTGCAGTATCTACACAGTGTGTACAATATATCCAGTGAACCTAAAGAATCACTCCATGATAAGAGTAAATAAAATATTACGTCACTGGTATCATTTAAATTATTTGATTATATTACACTTCTGGTAGCTTTTTATCAAAGTAGATGTGTAGGAACTGTTAACAGAAACAATCAACCAGTAAGAATATTTTGAATAACCCAGATGCAAGTAGGTAGTTACCAGTTTCACCACCAGGTGGCTCATTCGGGTCAGATAACATGGCAGGTATATAGAAACTTCTCCAAAACTTGAATATTTATTAGTTTTAGTAGTTCAATTTGCATATCACCCTTATGTATCTAATAGTTATGCAAGTTAAAATATGTCCAGTAAAAGAAAATATCATCTGTCCAATACAAGAAAAGATATTTCACTTTTTATGATTTTATAACATGGTGTCTATGGGGAATCTCCCCGACCAAGAAGTCACATTTTCAAAAAAATTTCAACATTGATAAACACTTTTTAAAACCACATTTCTAGATGTAATTTTACATGTATATTTCGAATATGGTATCACTTTGATTGAATTTTGAATGGCGTAAATTAAGATTATTTCTACTCGCATCTAGTCTATTGGGTTATGTATCAATAAAACCATCGTTTTCTGATAAGTTTGATTTTTAGAATAAACATATATAATACATGACATCACAAATAAACAATTCGATGTACAGCCAAATAATTGAACCTCAGTATTTTGAAGGATTTAAGCCCAGGACTCAATGAATTGCAGGATGTCTTAACAACAAATGTATCATTTCCAGACTTTGAATGAGTGCAGCAGGATGATTTCAAAGTCTAGGACACAAGACACGAGTTGATTAAATCATCCACGATTCATTAAATCATGTGCTTATAATCTTTTCACAAATTGCAACAGATTTTGTACTTAATGAGGCAATGTCTCCAAGGTTTTTCAGATGGTTCATTTATATGAGCAATTCAAAAGCCCATATCATCAGTTACACCATGATACATATATAAAACAATTCACGACTCATGACTCAATGTCACATGGCCATTACACGAGGCAGTGGTGATATTATGAAGGTATTTAATTCACAGTTTACACAAGATCTTCAGCCATTGCTACTGGATTATTATTCTCCATGTGTCCCTCTCCCTGGAGAGCTTCTCCTGCACCATGGGGGTCTACCCCACCTCCTGCATAGGGTACATGCTCCCCAGCAAATTGTTGAAGTCCTACCCCTTGGGGTAATGAATTTGTGGAGCTACAGTCACTGACATTGGAGTTCTTACGCTCCCTGGTTTCTAGTAAATAGCGATTTAGTGCTTCTTCATCAGCCGGACATTCAAAGTGGACACAGTGGAAAACCTACAATGTAAAACAACACATTAAGCTACTGAAAGGAAAGGTTCATATGGGAAGGGAATGGGTCATGTGAGATATTACATTAAGCTACTGAAAGGAAAGGTCCATATGGGAAGGGAATGGGCCGTATGTAATGTGAGATATTACATTAAGCTACTGAAAAGAAAGGTCCATATGGGAAGGGAATGGTCCATATATAATGTGAGATATTACATCAAGCTACTGAAAGGAAAGGTCCATATGGGAAGGGAATGGGTCATATGTTATGTGAGATATTACATTAAGCTACTGAAAGGAAAGGTCCATATGGGAAGGGAATGGGTCATATGTTATGTGAGATATTACATCAAGCTACTGAAAGGAAAGGTCCATATGGGAAGGGAATGGGTCATATGTTATGTGAGATATTACATCAAGCTACTGAAAGGAAAGGTCCATATGGGAAGGGAATGGGTCATATGTTATGTGAGATATTACATTAAGCTATTGAAAGGAAAGGTCCATATGGGAAGGGAATGGTCCATATATAATGTGAGATATTACATTAAGCTACTGAAAGGAAAGGTCCATATGGGAAGGGAATGGTCCATATGTGATGTGAGATATTATATTAAGCTACTGAAAGGAAAGGTCCATATGGGAAGGGAATGGTCCATATATAATGTGAGATATTACATTAAGCTACTGAAAGGAAAGGTCCATATGGGAAGGGAATGGTCCATATGTGATGTGAGATATTATATTAAGCTACTGAAAGGAAAGGTCCATATGGGAAGGGAATGGTCCATATGTAATGTGAGATATTACATTAAGCTACTGAAAGGAAAGGTCCATATGGGAAGGGAATGGTCCATATGTAATGTGAGATATTACATTAAGCAACTGAAAGGAAAGGAGGAGGAAGGTCAATATATAGGAACGGAAATTTGATACAAGATATTACAATGTAAGATAACATATTGAAACAAATATACAGATGATGTATCTATTAATTATTTTTCATCAGCTTTTGTTGGTCATATCAATTTTAAAAGGATGAAACTTTTGAGACAAATAAGTTTCAATAATTGCCATTCTCAATAAGCCCATATATGCAGCCTTATAACATAACACAAACAACCTCATTATATATAAGTTCATAATGAAATAATGTGTCTCAGAAGGCAATATGAAAACAATTTTTGGCTTTGGTACATTTTAAAAGAAAAATCCCACTTAATGTCCAAATGTAAAAACCTACCATTATGAGGTTATTTGCACCAAAATCGGAGACAAAAAATAATGATATGAAACTTATTAGTCTATATTGAAGCTTGAAAAATTTCTCGAGGTAATGAAATTGTTTGAAAAGTTTTTAGAACTTGTTTTACTGCTTACTAGGCCAGTCTAGCATCTAAAAGATGGGCATCAGATAGTTCAACACTGGTTTATACAAGGCAGCACTAAATTTCCACTTGGGATGTCTACTAATTGACCTTTTGCGATCAGAATTCAGGAATTTTGTTTATGGATACTGTTATCATGTATTTCGTCTTATTGGTGTGACGTCATATAAAAATGATATTAGACATGACGGAATCACGAAATGGTGGACACTTGGCAGTTTTGAGGTAAAAATATTGTCGTTTCTCTTATGAAAACCATGGGTCGGATATTTACCAGGTATGCTGATTTGACTAGATCATGATTATTTCTATATATGTGCGAAGTTTGGGTGAAATTCATACTAAACATGGATGCCTATAAGCGCCCCCCATTTTTGTCAAAATCGGGGGGCGCTTAACCGCTATCTAAATCATGTCAGTAAGATCTTAGACTTGGTATGTGCTTAGCATGAATGTTGATCTAGTCAATAAAGCACGAAATATAGAAGATAATCTCTCAAAATCAAACATCTATAGCAGTGTGGCCTAATTGTGACGTCACTACAGAGATACAATCCATTCGGTGATCGCAAATCATCAATTGACTCATTTCTTTAGAAATTGAATATAATAGAGAAGATACCATATAGATACAGAGCTGTTCACTCACTTGGATCACTGTAAAAAAAATACCACTTTATGTCCAAATGTAAAAACCAGTAAACAGAAAATATTCATTGATAGAATTTAAATTTTATTTAAGTGTAGTTTGAAGCCATATACAATACTTCAAGTTTAGAAACATACAACATAATATGAACGTGAATTCTAAAATCAATACTTTAAGTTCAAGTTACAAGAATATTAATCAACAAACTTTATAAGTCGACTCGTAGTTCCTCACAAAATTCATACAATAATTTGTATCCTTCTGATAACTGATAATTACTGTTTTGTTTAGGAAACAATTTTAACCAGAGACATATAAAACATTTTTATTTGTCTCTGTTTTAGGTAAGATAATATCATTTCATAATGTAATTCATTTGATTTCATATATTTTGGAAAATGTATATTACTGTTTTAATATCTTAATTGATCTAATTCTACATTTACAATGAATGCATATTATACAGGTTATTCTCTTCATGGCTTAGAATATGTTTTTTTTAATGCTGATGTGTCTCCAATTTACATTTTGATAACTAAATAACATGAGTATGTAGATACAAAGTATGTAGATTTTTCTTCTGGTGGCTCAAGGGAATCAAATAAATATACATGTATAGTAGTTACACCTGATAAGTCATCATGTGCATCAGCCTGAGACAGCTATAACCTAATGTTGAACTTGAGTGATTGCTTTGAGATGGGGGAGGTACATGTACCCACACTTAATTTCATGAATGGACCGTTATATAGCTAGACTTGAAAAGGATTTGTATATTTTACCACACCATGTTGGTCCCAATCTATACAGATAGATGCTAGACTGAGGCAGGGTGTGTAAGTAAAAATATCATTACAAATTAATCATGATAGCCCATGATAACGGTCACTGAGCCTTTAACAGCAAAGCTTTTAAAAGGGTAATAATTGTAATTTTGAGCTGTGGGATACCATTTATCATAACTTCCAAAATTTCTTTTTATGTTGCATACATGTTGATTTACAATGTGAATAGATATTTCATTTTCTAAATATAAGTCACTGTATTGATGGAAGGCCAAGTAGAATGTCATAATAGAAAATCCAGTATCCATTAGAGTAAGAGTAAACATCTCTTTGCAAGCTACCATTATAGACCATGATCCACAGTCCACAGTCATGACCATCAATATTAAAGAGAGAATCAGATCTAGCAAGCAGCCTAACAAAAAATTGTTTCAATTTAAGAATATTTCTGGCTTATGTCATTCCTTTTCATGTCTATTTTCTAAAAATCCCAAAAGTGTACACTTTATTTTAGGAAAATTAACATTTGGGAGAATCTAGACATCTTTCAACCATTTCTTCACTTTGAATCTATTGTAACTTTACCGATTTATAACATATTGTGAATCTTTTGGGCGATCCTGTATTTGATATTGTAAGGAATAGATTGGTCGGTCAATTGTACATGTTGCTTGTAATTTTGTTACCCCCATAGACCTGATTCTGCCATTAAGGTTTGGTTGATTTTCTAAAGCAATTTCAAATTGAAAATTAATTTTATTAAAGAGTTTTATGCTCAAAGATTATATAAGTATATTGTTCATTGGGATCTTATCCTATAATGAATGGATCTAAAAGATGTATGCCTCTTTTAGGGTCAGACAAGGCATTAACATGACAAAATGTCACCACCAAGTTGTTCACAATACTATTAGTTGAATCTAAGTCGGATTTGAATTTTTGAGAACTTGTAGATCATTTTGAAAATTGGTCAATTTGAATCAAGTTGAAAGAGACCTTTTTTGACACTGAGAAGGTCATTGAGGTCAAATATTTTTTTGACCTTGAGAATGTCATTGAAGGTCAAATCTATAGTCCGATTTGAACCAAGTTGAAAAAATTCCTTTTTGACCATTTTTGACTTTGAGAATCTAAAGTCAGATTTGAACTTCTGATAACTTGATGATTTTAAAAGAAACATTTGGTCAATTTGAAGCAAGTTGAAAAGAGACCTTTTTTACCTTGAAAACGTCACTGAAGGTTAGATCTTAAATAAAAAGTCAGAGTTGAACATCTGAAAACTTGAAGATGATGTTGAAAAAACTGAAATCAGTCTCAACAGTATGTGATAAGTTATTGGAAGTTTTTAGAATTAGTTACAGACACCAACCGCAAACCACCAACCACCACCCGCCAACTGTCAATCCCAACGGCCGTCACAAAAATGGAGACCATAACAATATGTCACCACTTTTTGGTGGTGACATAAAAAGTCATAATCCAAGATATAACAATTTGAAATTGTCCGAAATAACCTATTTGGCCTTTTTCTGTTACCGATTGCAAATCACAAAAAATATTATTTTAAGAACACTTTTATCATATTATAATGTATGAAACATATGTACAGTATATACCATATAATTACACCAATAAAACTAATAATAATCACACAAATATCTAAAGAGAGTTAATATATATATAATATCCAGAGAGCATTTTACTAAAATGTCAATGTTGAACATTTATATTTGACATGGACTTCATTTGAAAGAACTGTAGGGCAGAAGCTTTGCCGCATGCAACAAGGAAGTCTTGATCTTTCACATCCAGTCCATATACCATATCAGTTGTCTTTACATAGTCTGTGTTTATTCCAATGGTCCTCGCCACATCAGTACTTTTCATATATAGTTTTTTCAGATTAATGTCCAACATTCCCTGAAAGGCGGACAGAAATCCACCTATCGTGTTTGTATCATCTTGGACTGACATGTTCTGCATGTAGCACATGAAATGTACACTTTTCTTCTCCATGAATGTTATGAATTCATCGAATGTTACCTCTCCGTCTCCATTAATGTCCATTTCTTTGAATATAGTGCTCAGTGGAGTGTCACCAAAGAGAGCCTTGGCATGATGTTCCTTGAAGTCACTATGCTCTATAGCCTGTTGTAGCTCATGGATGTCAATTGTGTTACTGCCATCCACATCATTGCTTCTTAGAACCATCCAAAAATTCTTAGCAGCTTCAAAGATTTTGATTCTTTTTTGCTCTCTCACTTTGTGCTCATCAATGATTTTGCCATTCTTTCTGGCAAGTTTAGTATTTGGTCGTACAATTGGGGCAGACCTTTCCTCAAAGGCTTGCATCATAAATTCAGATTCATCACCAGAATATAAAAGAAGTCCTAGTGTTTTGTCATTGTTTCCCCCAAATGTGTGTTCTTTGTTTGTGCTAGTCATGTTTTCAAGTTTCCTGAAAAAGCTGTCCTTGGGATCCATTGATAGGTACCAACCATCGAAGCAGTGTATTGGGTAGTTGCAGAGTACTCCGCCATCGATGTAACAATGATTCAGGCCATTTTTTTCCACAACTTTTGGTTGAACAAAACCAGGTATTCCAATAGATATTCTTACAGCAAGAGCTATTGATACATTAGGTGTGGTCTTTGGATGGAAATATTCCACACTCGATGTTGTCAAATTTGTCGCAATAATGCACAACTCTTTCCCCGTCTTTTGGTACAGCTCTAAGAAAGTTAGTTTGCGCTTCCCTTGTTTTTCTTCAATGTAAAGTTCAAACTGACTCTCAATTTTGTTATATGGATGCCAGCCTTGGTGTTTGATCATGTTCCATGGTAAGGAGAGTATCCCAAATTTCGCATCTTGGAAAAACTCACTGCTTCTTGCATCCCTCCTAACGATGACCTCCAACTCTGCAGCTGAGAAACCAACAGCTAAGAGAGTCGCCAACATTGCACCAGAACTCGCTCCTGCAAACCTCTTTAAGTTCTTAATGATATCCAGTTCCTCTAGAAGAGTAATTGTCCCACAGTAGGCCAGACCTTTAGTACCCCCTCCTTCCAAGACAAGATTCTCATTGTCATAATTTCTCGCTTTAAGTTCAGTCATCATTTCAGCATATTCACATTCTATTTCATTAACATCACTTGAGAAGGATCGCTCAATACATTTCTTTGAAACAGTATGCTCCTGGTCCGCATCAATATTGTAACTTTCCTTTGAGTTTGATCCGCCCATGTTGATCTCATATACCAACTAAAATTTGTAACTAACATTTGCAGGTGATTCATCTGATAAGTGAGTCCACTATAAATGAAATATACACTCCATTACACCAGCTACAGGTTAGTACATTAAGTACATTATGCAGGGGGTGCCAAAAATTTTTCAACTTTAGAGGGCAAGAAAAGTATCATAACATTATGGTATTGACATAAAATAATTTTTACAGAAACTTAAGGATATATTTAAGTTTGGATATTTCATCAATACTAACATATATTTTCATTATCTACAAAAAAAACCTGGATGAACATTATTTCAGCTGATATTCCTCTAGAAACGTGGTGGATCTTAAAAATCTATAAGTGGGACTCCCTTTATAGAAGCTTTGAACTGAATTTACACTTCTTAATGCTGAAATTGATAGTTTATACATACATTTTAAGAAAATAGGTATGTCAAAGAAGGTGTTAAGCTAAACATTGACCTGATAGCTCAGAAAAAATTTAAATTTTAAAATTTTCTCTCTACAGTCCTTTTTGCCCCTTTAATGCTAAATTGTTCATATGTCCGATATTTACTGATTTTCCTAGAAAATGTAATTTGCTATGATCATGAATAGCACATTTCAACAAGACTTTTTTGGTGTCAAAGTCGAAGTTTAAGTAGTAGTTTGCAACAACAACTTTTTGATTTAGCGCCAGAATAACTTGGCACACGGTACGTCAAAACTGTCATTGTCAGATAACAAAATATACAAGTCCCATGTAGCTATTTGATATGGAGAGATTTTCTTCTGTATTTCGTACTTTATTGATCTATTTTTCATGAAAGTAAAATAAAACCTGAGTTAAGGGCGGGGTTAAAATATCGATGTTCATATGGAGACGAAAGTACTTTCGCGAGGGGGGAGGGGGTTTTTGGGCACTTTCGTTGACCAAAAAAACATCGATAATTCGGATCTGATATACAAAAAATAATTGGACTTACCCACTTTTTCTGGCGCTATGTTCTGATAAAAAGGCTTGTTTTCAATAGTTCGTGAGCTTTTTTGTGTGATAGGTCCAAAATATCGGTAGATAAAGACGATAATTCGATCATTTTTTCGAGGTCTCCTCTGCCGAAGGCAGCGCAAAGTAGGAGCGTAGCGACTACTTTGCGGGAGACCTCGAACCATTGATCAGGTTTGCTCCTGTAATTATTCACTTCTTCACCTCTTTAAAATGTGATTTCAATCAGTGGATCAAATTTTCGGACTTTGATCTCAAATTCAAATATTAATATTTATAAGAAAAAATACTGACCCATTATTATATTTTTAAAAGTCTTTCAAATAAAGTGAAATGAAGCCAAAATCAGCTAAAATTATGCAATGTCGTAAAATGGCGTGACTGGAATATGATGCAATCACCTGTGACGTCAGACATGTATTGCCACATCAACAACTAAACAAACAATCAATATAGACTTCACTGATTGGTTTAAAGATTCTTCGCATCATTTGTGACGTCGTAAGCATGTTACCCAACAACTAAACAAATAATAAATAGGCGTTAGGTTCGTTCAGTGCAACGCTCTTGAATCAGTTATAAACAGGATAATCAACAGATATATGAGAGGGTCGGGCATTTTTTTGACTTGGAGACCTCGACTCGAGGAGTTTGCTGCATTTTCTTGTTCAAATAAATTCCGTACTTTTCCCTCCTCCTTTTGAAGAGTTCAATGCAGTTAAATTGCGAACGTGTGTTAATTCACCGTAATAATAACCCGGCAAATAGGATACGATTATTAATCAATGTTTTTTTGAAGTGACCTAAGCTTTCGTCTAGAGGGGGGGGTGGGGGGGTTGTTGTCCAAACGAAATTACTTTCGTCTCCATATGAACATTGATATTTTGACCCCGCCCCTTAGTGAACACATCACTCTAGTGAACACCTATCAACAGAGAACTTTTTTTTTCGGCAAAACCTTTTTCCTCCCATTGACTCCCATGTTAAAGTATAATCCTATAGTGAACACGTACCTACTTTGAACACTAAATCTTGGCAAAATCAGTTGAATGATCCTAATAATACTGGTGAAATTTCAGCCTTTAATAATAAAAACTCTTGGTCTTATAACAAGTTCAGGACTTATGGGACAACCCTCGTATAGACTAAATATACATACATTTGATTGAAGAATATAGATTGGTCCAGAAGAATGTCAAGGTTTTTCAGATTCATCACAGAAACCAATGAAACTGCAATTGTTTTCGCCATTTCTATGTTGAAAGCCACTTTAACTCATTCTAGTTGAATCAAACAGAGGCCAATAGAGTATATAGTTTGCAAACCCCCTCATAAGTGATTTTGTTATTTTTAAGAAATAGTAAAAGTAAGTTTATATAGAAATACATTTTTGTAAAGAGGTGAGTAGATCTTGAAAAATAAAAAAATTGCCTCATGGAATTCTCAGGAGAGCCAACCTGCCATCTTTACAAAGAAGATTTATAAATTGCTGATGTATGTTGACTTTTCTTAAAGATGTAATTTAATCAAACTTAAAAGTAGTTTCAAGACTGGATAAAGGACGGGTGTCATTAAGGGCCCTTTTTAGCCCCCAAAGATATCTGATAATAATGCATATCATATTGAAGAAAAATCATTTGTGCTTTATAAAAATACAATTTCAGCGAATTTTGACCTTTGATGTTCACACAACAGTCATTTAAAGATCATATACCATTTTTGGTGTTTTTACAAAAAAATCTTTATTTATTGTTGTCTAAGTAAATAGTATATAAATATTAACCAATTTAAATATATTAAAATGTAATATATGAAATACTGAAGAAAAGATACGATTAAAATTATTTTCATGGAAAAGCACACAGGGCAATATTGACAAAATGAAAATGCTATTTTGGTAGGTTCTGGGCTAGCAATGGGTACATTTCAACTGTGACTGTAATGGATTACTATTGACTTTTATCAACATCACAGGGCAACATTTAAGCAACTTAAATACAAGGAAAATCAAAGATTTCTTCTCATTTCTAAAACGAGGAACAAAAGCATGAATTCAAGGAAAATAAATGATGGCCTGTGCCAAAATATATAACGATATGAGAAAGTTGTGGCTCAGTAAAGGATATGTATAGGATATTATATGATTTTAAATGATTTTATCTTCATCTCCGAGTTGATATCAATATCTTGCCAAGTTAGAATAGCGAATTAGCGCAGATATTGATATCAATGAGTTGGATTAACACAATATCACGAAAATTCATAGGATGTTCTATTTATCCCATAGTTCACCTCTAAAACTAAACAAAACATATCAAAACAACATCCATTCATCCCCGTGATGTCATGAAATCACTATGTAACAAAACACATCATATTGGTGGTAGTTTTCAAATCCCTGCCAAAAGGTGATATCTATGAAATATTTTCCGTATTCCACAGATATCACTTTTTCCACGCATTTGCAAAATATCACAAATATGTTGTCATGTTACCTAACAGAGCGGAACAGAGTTCAACTATGGGATAAAGAATAAAAAATAGGTACATAATTGAATAACCACTCCAAAAATATTAAATATGAGGGTTTAAAGAAAGAATATTGAATATGAGATTCAAAAAGACAAGTGGCCTCATGTCTCACATTACCCAAACCCCAGATCCTCGATGTCATATATATACTTGTATACTGTATATCAATGTTATTTACTGGGAGGATTAAATATGGAGTGTATAGAAATGGTCAATACGATATTTCCAGATAGATATTTTCCCCTAGAAGTGGAACCCAAACTCATGACATAGAAGCTAACTTTTGCAATTAATAGAAACTTGTTTTTTATTATATTTTTGTGTTCTATATTTGAGATGAAATAATATGAGATTCATTTCTACAAGGATGGAACGAATGTGAACTTGTATATTGAACTATACTCCTTTTCTGAATAAACAGAATAACATTTTATCCAAGCCAATTAAGAAAACCAAGGCCAATGAGTGTAATTCATGCCCAGTTAAACTAACACAATAACAACTTTTTGTCTGGACTCACTTATTATGTAAGAATGAATTGTATTACTGTTTACTGCATTAAATGTCAAGTATACGATCTGTATTTAATTTCAAATGCCTATCTCACTTATCGAAGGTATACAAGAAATGTTATTTTGAAACAAATTCAGCACAACCAAAACCATGTCCACATATATGACAAATCCAAGATGGCTGCCACAATTTTAGATCCATGCAGATGTGGAGAAGTCAGAAATACACATGGTCCACAAGTTCCATCCCCAATAAAATGGGAAGTTTAAGGTTTTCACACATATCAACTCTATTCCTATATACTTTATATTTGTGGTAAGGCTTGTGATCTAGGTAAACTTAACATGTTCATGTACCTCCTATCCTCTGAAGCTAAAAACAGAAATAGTGACTTCAATTGAGAAGAATGAATCTTATGGGCTCCATATACATTTTGAGTGGCTGTCCGGCTTAAAGGGATAATAACCTCAAGTAAAAACTATGATTCATCAGAATAATAAGTCTATAATCAAAAACATGACCCGGGTATGAGCGACGATCTTCTAATGCATCGGCAGATATATTGGAATTAATTTTGAGGTATTGGATCTTCACCTGGATTATGGAGGTCGCCATAACCTACCTATGAATATTCATGAGCGGCGTCACTGCGACTCGACAAATTCCAGCATTTTGATTGGCCTGAAAAATGCGCATGCGCAATTGTAGCGGGGCGGCCACATTGAAAAATATTACGAACTTCTTAACAAGAAAATGGAGCAATTTGAAGATTTTGACGATGTATTTGGCATATTGACATACTATAATATGATATCACCTGTTCGAGAAAAACATGACCATGTTCACATCAATACTTACAATTCATAGAATTAACTCCCAAAGTGCCAATCAAAACCTGACCAACTCGTGAACGTTGGTTACCGACATGACAGGAAAATGCGTTAATTTTATGTTGACAATCAATTATCTCTCGATCGTTTTGCTTGAAGATTAAACATATTCGGATCTTTTATTTAATAAAATGACGAATGGCAGATATTAATTGGATTTTTGACACTCTGTTATAAATATAAGGCAGAACTGATAATGTATTCCCCGTCATGAATGATCGCGATCGATGACGCAAGGTTCGTCATTTCGATCACCATGGAGGTGATACTGTTGTATTTACTTATCCCGTTCCCGGACTATGGTCCTGTGAACATCTCAATCTTTTGCCTGTGCGATTACAACATGGGAGAATTTTTTACTGATCTTACACTTCAGATACCTACTTCAATAGATTCCTTGGTAATTTAGCATTCTTTTCGTGTAGTTGAATCCACAATTGTCTGGGTTTATCGGCAGAACGAAGACATTTTCGTTTTTGATCGCAATATTTGCGTGTAACATTTAACTTATTTCAACCGTCAAATTCCTCCATATTGGTACTTCCGGGCTACATCCGGGACAGCCAAACGGGGGATTCCCCTTTTAAATCCAACCGCCATTTTGAAAAGTGATGGAATCTCTCCCGATGAAAAAGAGAAAATGTTCCCGTTCTGCCGATATACCCAGACAATCGGCGGTTCCAATATATTAGAAGTTACATCTTGAGTTCTATAATGCATTGAGGTAGGTATCTTAAGTGTAAGGGGCGTAGATAATTCTCCCAAGTTGTAATCGTACAGGCAAATGAATGCGATCAGTGCAGGACTATAGTCCGGGAACGGGATAAGTATTTACAGTAGACAACAAACAATTTAAAGGCTCTTAGACCTAGTATGTTATATTTATTTCACAAATATGGTATTAAGTTATAAAGCTATTAAAGACATACGATACGATACGATACGATACGATACGATACAATTCAAAAAGTTTTTTCAAAATGGCGTCGACCTAACCGGCACATGGCCTGGTTCAGTTCTCTTTTTGGGACCGGATTGCTCGCCTTGAATCCGTTTTCTTTGGTTTCTTGTGACAGAATATGTATGGTATGGCAACTGCCCGAACGACAGTGAGATTCCATTGTCGATAACGACAGTGTTATTTCTGTTGCCGATAGCAAACTGTCGTGGGTAAACCCGGAAGTAAAATTGTGTTCAATCTACGCCGTTTGAGGAGAAAATCAGCTAAAACAACTTGCCCCGCGTGTTTAGAACCATCATCACTGTAGCATCTATATAATCAATACTTACTTGAAATATCCTGACATCGAACTAAATAAACCACTCAACTTCAGTTGTTATTCATTTTTATTCACCAATCTATTTTGAAGAGCGATTTCAGCATTTGAGGCAATCTGCGCCAGTTCCTCTTGATTCGAAATCTAGTTCATGCGCATTAGAATGAATAATTTGATTGGCTTAATTCCAAAAACACATGCGCACTTGTAAATTATTTCAAACTACTAGGCATGCGCGAAGAGTTGAAGCAAAAACGAAACTGCTGCAGATTACCCTATACTTATTCGATGGAGGAATTGGAAAATTCTTTATTCAAAATGTTTTCCCGTATTGGGGAGAAAAAACACAACCCCAGGATAGATATATGACGACAAACAAGACAATAATAAGTAGGAATCTTTGATTATTAAAAGCCGTGCATGAAACTTTTCAGAAACTATAGTAAGTGACACTGTTTTATTTTAAATGTGTTCTATTCCCCGGGGATTCGGTCCACGACAACGACAGCTGGTTTTAACTGTCGACAGATTTTAATTCTACCGTCACCAGCCGACTGTCGTACTGTCGTTCAGGCATTTCTTTTAAAGTCCTTATCCCAAGTCTAGCTCTATCAGTGGAAATATTTGAACAATTTACCGCACAACACATAGGCATTATCCTTTGTTGTGAATGCTTTCAAGATGGCGGCTCAGGTCGCAGAAACGTCACACTTCCGGTCTACATCCGGGTCTCTGAGGGAAATATGGCGAGCCCCGTCCAACAGACAACTGGGTCACTGGGTCAATTTATGATTTTTATTTTCAATATTATACAAAAACTAACACATAACAAGATTTTCAACTTATTGCATTTTATTCAGTAGTATTGTAACTACATATAATGATGATTAGAATACCTGACATTATTTCCGCTTTAAGTTAGATACTACTGATAATCTGAGATTGAAAATTATGTCAAGTTTAGTCCTCAGCCTCTCATAACGGATAACTTCGAGGTAATTGTGTTGTCACTGCAAAAACCTCTATTTCTTCATCACAAATCTACCATCTTTTGCATCTGTCAAAACCCTTCATTTCATGTTAATTTTCAGACTTTTGCTTGTGCCATCATTAAATATATGTATTCAACTTGTTATTCAGAATATTTTAAGAACTTTTCATGAATTTTTTTATTTTCACACTTTTGAAAAAATGACTAAGTCAGAGAATGGCCTCTTAATGGCATGTCCCCTTTCTCACAATCTTCAAAGTACACAAGATGACATAACAGTGCCTCTCTTGATGTTAATTGTGCAATGAGCTGATATCTTAAAATATCTTACTTAAAATTTTGATTGCATAAAACCTTAAGAGAACAAAAGAAGGCATATTATTGTCAATCATAACACTGGAAATAAACAGATTTTTTTGGCATTAAATAGATTTATTTTGGCATTAACATGCAGAAGACTAAATGGAAGGGCATAGGAATCAATAGAAATCAGAAAACAGGTTTCTTTAAGCATTGACATGCAGACAACTACTGTAGGAGGAAGGGCACAGGAATCAATAGAAATCAGAAAACAGATTTCTTTTGGCATTAACATGCAGAAGACTAAATCGAAGGGCACAGGAATCAATAGAAATCAGAAAACAGGTTTCTTTAACCATTGACATGCAGAAGATTAGGAGGAAGGGCACAGGAATCAATAGAAATCAGAAAACAGATTTATTTTGGCATTAACATGCAGAAGACTAAATGGAAGGGCACATGAATCAATAGAAATCAGAAAACAGGTTTCTTTAAGCATTGACATGCAGAAGACTAAGAGGATGGGCACAGGAATCAATAGAAATCAGAAAACAGATTTCTTTTGGCATTAACATGCAGAAGACTAAATGGAAGGGCACAGGAATCAATAGAAATCAGAAAACAGGTTTCTTTAACCACTGACATGCAGAAGACAAGGAGGAAGGGCACAGGAATCAATACAAATCAGAAAACAGATTTATTTTGGCATCAAGATGCAGAAGACTAAATGGAAGGGCACAGCTAATCAATAGAAATCAGAAAACAGGTTTCTTTAACCATTGACATGCAGAAGACTAGGAGGAAGGGCACAGGAATCAATAGAAATCAGAAAACAGATTTCTTTTGGCATTAACATGCAGAAAACTAAATGGAAGGGCACAGGAATCAATAGAAATAAAAAAAAAGATTTCTTTTGGCATTAACATGCAGAAGACTAGGGGGAAGGCAGCAGGAATCAAATTAAACAACCCTGCCTTAAATGTGATTTACTTACCTCATTGGCAGTGTTATGCGTGCCAACTATTTTAACAAATGTAACTGGGCGTTCCTCAAAATTGATCACCTGCCAGCCTCTGAAAAAATCAATTTCAATATTGTAAGTAAATGTGCATGTTTACAGTTCTGGACTGTATATGGATATATACTAAATTATTTAATATTTAAATGAGAAATATCATGAGAGGTGAGACCAGCTTCTTTGGAACTTTTATAAATTCTTAAAAATTGCATTAACATGCAAAATGTCATGACCTGCCATTTATTACAGCCACCAAATGTTGAACACCAACCATGAAACACCAAACACTGAATGTCAAGGGCAAATAGTGGTAACATAAAAACTAGTTGTGACATAAAAACTAAAAGTATTATAAAAACCATACAAAGTTTGAACAATCGGAGTTTTTTCTCTTATTTCTTGTCAAGTAGTGAAACTCATTTCTGGAACCGGGTATTGATCAACATGACAAATTGTCACTACATGGTGAGTTATCGCAAACAGTTACAAAAATGTGACAATTTGTTACAGATGCTGATTGCTGAGCCAATACTATAAAATTTCAAACAGCAAATGCATAAGTGAGTAAAGAATGGTAGCCATAATGATGTGACCATTTCATACTGACATAAAATTTAATGTGTTACATTTATATGTTATTATATTATTATAGCAATTCATGGGAAATGTGATTTCTGGAAATTATTCACAAAAACCAGTAATAGTCAAATCACTAATGGGTTTCTAACATGGTGATAGTTCACGATCATATATATTCTTAGATTTTCGGCACATAGACCAATATGGACATTCCAAAAATTTGGATCCGCATTGCCAAGCGCGAATCGCACTCCTTCATGGTGAAAATTCAAGATGGCCGCCAAAATTATTGTCAAATATGTATATTTTTTTGATAATTTTTTTTTACTGCCTTTATTTCAATAAAATGTGATAAATTAGTGTCTTCAGGTATTATCTAATAATATTCCTACCAAATGAATTTTTTTATTAAGTATAAACATAAGAAATTGCTTTAATAGCGCCATCTTTTGATAAAATTATACCAAAATTGACGTCAAAATAACAAACATTTCCCTTATTCACTACTTCTTTCAATAAAATTTGACAAGTTTATATTTTATCAAGGCTTACTGATAATATTCAACATATATCCGTCAAAATATTTCATTATAATCAATAAAGAAGAGTGTTGGGCAGCCCCACCTATAGGTATATATGCATTGAACTGCTCTGAAACATAAATTAATGATTATTATTTTATTCATGCTGACCCAATTTGCTTATTCTTAAATAACTGTTATCTGTAATGAAAATGTTAGATTTTCTGCTTTTATTTCAATAAAATGTGATAAATTAGTGTCTTCAGTTATTATTTAATAATATTCCCACCAAACAGTTTTTTATTAAGTATAAACATAAGAAATTGCTTTTACAGCTTCACCTTTTGATAAAATTATACCAAAATTAACGTCAAAATAATAATTTCAATTTTTTTTATCAATTCAATTATTTATTTCATAATTCTTATATAATATACACTATAAAAACAAGCCGCTAGACACCCTAGTGGGTATATGTTGCGGTTTAACAGAAATCATTAAAATGACAACTAGACTACATATAAAAGAAAACACTTATATTATGTTACATGTAGGTATATAAAAATGGTATTAACAATTAATCTAAGGATGTACAATGTAAAAATGTTACAAAAATCGGGTACCAGTATAAAATCAACAGTATAGTATGATATTGGTATTATACATTATCGATAGATGAGTAGTTTTTTATATGAAGATTTGAAAATATTTAGAGTGGAGCATTTTTTAATATCATGTGGTAGAGCATTCCAAAGATTAGGACCCAGAAAGCGAAGGGAAAGTTTAGAGCATTTAGGGATATGAAAATGATGCAATTGTCTTGTGTAATGATGATGAATATTAATGTTGATATCAAACAAGTCTTGAAATAGATTTTTTGGAAGACTGGGGTGCTTATTAAAGATTTTGTACATGAACTGACCAGTACAATATCTGTTGACATCAAAAATATTTAATATTCTAAGATCTTTAAATAGGGGAGCGGAGTGAGAAAGTCTATCCTTATTTAAAGCTAGCCTTAAGAATTGTTTCTGCAGTTTATGTAGACGATCATAAAATGATTTAAATGTGTTACCCCAGATTATGTTGCAATAATTTAATTGAGAGTGTATCAATGAGTAGTAAATTGTTTTGAAACTGTCTATTTGAAGTAGATGTTTAATGTGATAAAGAGAACCAATGACGCGAGAAATCTTTGTTTCAACAGATTTTATGTGTTCTTTAAATTTCAAGTTTTTATCAATAATAATTCCAAGAAAGTCAATTTTTTCCCGGAAATTTATGTTCTTATTGCGTATTTTAAGATTCAGATTTGTTTGATTTTTTTGGGGTCCAAATAGAATAGCATTGGTTTTGCCAATATTAAGTGAAAGTTTGTTTGCTTTTATCAAGTCATCTATTGAATTAAAGTTTGCATTAGTTCTAGTCATGAGTTCATTTAAATCATAATCACTATCAAGAAGATTGGTGTCATCAGCAAACATAATAAATTTTAGATTAGGGGCAACAAAAGGCAGATCATTTATGTAAAGAATAAATAATAGTGGTCCAAGTACCGAGCCCTGCGGAACACCACAATTTAGAGATGATTGTTTGGATTCATAATTGTTAATGGTGACATATTGTTTGCGGTCTTTTAAATAACTTTCAAACCAGGACTTAGCTATTCCTCTGATGCCATAATATTCAAGTTTTTGTATCAAAATATCATGATTAATTGTGTCAAAGGCCTTGGAAAAGTCTAATGTTATGCCAATGCTCGTTTTCCCCAAATCAGTTGATTTTCGAATTTGTTCAATGAAATATAAAATGGCCATGTAGGTAGAGTTGAATTTCTGAAATCCAAATTGATAAGTAAAAATAATTTCAAAACGTTCTAAAAAACCAGTGAGTTTGGCGTGCATGAGCTTTTCTAACAATTTAGAAAATACAGATAAAACTGAAATTGGTCTATAGTTCGAAGGATTTGTAGTGACACCTTTTTTAAATACAGGTGTTACTTTGGCCAATTTGAGGGCGTCTGGGAAAATACCAGATTTAAAAGATAAGTTAAATATATAAGAGTGGATCAATTAAAAACTGTCTTGCAGACTTAATAAGTGATGGTAGAATCCCATCAGGTCCAGGCGAGGAAGATTTTAGAAGACACATTTCTAATTCAAGCTCAGTTTTTGAGGTCTTTTTGAGATAAATAGATGATTGAACTTTTTGAGCTCTTGCTAGGTATTCATTAAAGCATTTTTTGGATTTTGGAATCTCCTTGGCTAGATTTTTACCAATATTGGTAAAAAAATTATTAAATCCATTGGAAATGATTTCATGATCTGTTGTTTCCTTTCCATTTATAGTGAATTTAGATGGCAATGCAGCTTTTTTGTTTTTTCCAAGTAGTTCATTAATGATAGACCAAGACTTTTTAATGTTACCACTTACTTCGGCAAACTTATTTTGATAATGTGTACGTTTTGAGTATTTAATTATGTGCTTAAGTTTATGGTTGAAGGACTTGTAAGCTTTTCCTGTTTTGCAACAGGGATTTTTCAAATATTTGGTATATAGCTTATTTTTAGTTTTGGCAGAAGTTAAGATGCCAGAAGTCAACCAGGGTCTATTAGGATCATGATTAACCTTGATAAATTTGGATTTGAGTGGAAATGAAGAATCATATTGTTCCATTAACAAGTTAATGAAGATATTAAATGCTATGTTTACATCTTGACTTTTATAACAAGGGGTCCAGTCGACATTTGAGAGTTTCTCAAGAAATAATTGCTTATTAGAGTCATTGAAATTACGATAACTGCTTAATGTTTTTTTAGATTTGGTAGTATCATAATGTGAAATGGAATAGATTGGAAAGTGATCAGAAATGTCCTCCATGATGATACCACATCCATCAATATTAGGGACATTAGTAAAAATATTATCTATAAGAGTTGCAGTCTTGTCAGTAATTCTTGTCGGCCTATATATTAGTGGGACATGGTTGAATGAATAAAACTGGTTCAGAAAATCATGTGTGGGTTCATGAGATTCAACCTTAAGTAAATCAATGTTGAAGTCACCCATGATGTAAGATAATTTACCCTCATCTGCTATTTTATTCATATAATCACCCAAGTCACTATTAAAATGTGACACATCAACACCAGGTGGCTTATATATGACAGTAATAATGATATTTTTTGAGTTTTGACTGATTAATTCAATAGCTACTGATTCACACTCTAGATTATCAACCCTAAGGTCATTGCGTGTAATATACTGCAAGGAGTTGTGAACATTTATACAGACATAAATAAATAAACAATTCCCTTATTCACTTTTTCTTTTCAATAAAATTTGACAAGTTTATATTTTATCAATGTTTAGTGATAACATTCAACATATATCTGTCAAAATATTTCATTATAACCAATAAAGAAGAGTGTTGTGCAGCCCCACCTATAGGTATATGCATTAAACTGAAACATAAATTAATAATTATTATTATTTTATTCATGCTGACCCAATTTGCTTATTCTTAAGTAACTGTTATCTGGAATAAAAATGTTAGTGTTTCTAGATTCAACAACATGTTAGTTGTAGAAAGTAGAAATGAGAGTTATATGAAGGGGGAGGGGTTATGTAAGTGGGGATAAGGTTTGTGGATATATATTGAGGCATGTCACCCATCTTGATTTTCTGAGTGTTTCTGCACTCTGAAGTATAACAGAACTGTATTACAATTTTCTTCATTTTAGTTATATTGAAGTCAGTTTAAAGTCTGATATTCATTGTCTCTCATATTGACGTGTATAAAGTCAACAAATTATATCAACCCAGACCAAACACCTGTACTTGCTGCCGAACAGCCCCTCTTTGCACTGTTCAAGCAGTAATAGTGGACAATGGCAAGAGATGGGAGAAAAAACAAAGCTGATAAGGATACTTGGTGGAATACACACTGAGATGGGAGCATTTCACATCTTGGGCAATCTATGAGAGAACCCTGGATGGATAATCTCCCTCTCTCAAGCTGGCATAGCCACATCTGGTATAGCTGATTCCTTTATCAAAGTTAACCATCTCGCACTAACTTGCAGAGCACATCATATTACTGCCTGTAGTCTTTATATTCTTGACAAAAAAAGCCTGTGAGACACATTGTTTGTGTTGGGATCTTGATGAATAACCTCAGTTTGAGTTGGATGACTGGGTGAAAAAACAGTCCCAGCTGAATGGCTCTTCCCAATTTAATCTGGTCGGTGGTAATGGATCTTAAACTTTTGAGAGGGCAACTTCAGCCTATACAAAGATACCCTTTCTGAGTTATTGCCATGCCTTTTTATACTCAATCACACAAACTAGTCAAGGTGGCTACCAGTTTTATCCGTGACATGAACCAATTTAATGCAACACACCAATCAGTACTTGGTGAATTCATTAAGGGAAACTAAACTGACTAAAACAACAAGGCACATGACATGAACAAAATCATACCATCTAGACATTGTTTTGGACAGTTATGAAACTACATGTAACAGTTTAGAGTCTGGTATAAGAAATAAGAGAGGAAACAGTAAAAGGAGGCATATTTATCCTGGCAAGATTGTTTGTGCTTGGAGTAAAACAAGAGAGAATTGTTTCAAATCCTTACTGCAAATGTGAGCAATATAATTATTCATGAACGAAAAAGACTTCTCGCAACCTTTGATCAGGATGTCATGTGTAAATCCACAAAAACAATCCACCAAAGACAAATAACCTTGCACACAATCAACACATTTTTTCTGAATGAACCAATATGAGTTGGATTGGACAAGGGGAGACAGTTCAGGTACTTGGCAGCACATGAAATGGCGAATTCCATTGGGCCTCAAAAAAGTCTATGTCTGCCATTATTCCACTCATTGACAAGTTACACCTGGATTCCATGGAAGCAGGGGCAGAATTATAGCATGGGACAGATGAAACTCATTTTCACAACTGATGAATGCACTCCTCAGTCTAATAGATGATCCTTTATTAATGTTATGTTGCTGTATGATAAATTCAGCAATGACACCTCAATCAACACTGCAAGGAAGAATACATTTTTACAGAAAACTACTTCATTATTGACCACATTCCTCCAACAGCTGATGCCTTAATGCAACACTGCAAGGGAGCATTGTACCAAGGTGTACATATCTGGGGTCAGTTAAACAAACCAAGTCCTATCATTCCCCAGGTATCATTCCATCTCCAAAGAACTGGAGCTGGAGAACAGAGCCAAGAGACAACACTTAAAAGCCACACAGGACTACCTAAAGCAGATGGCTGATGCTAGTCAACCATTGGTAAAATGTGGTTGTCAGAAGCAGTGTTTCCCATCAAGATGTCCCAGCTTGAAGGCTGCTCTAGTATGCACATCATTGTGTGCCTGTAATGGAGATCGAGTATTCATTAGAATAACTAAAGTAAGGGTTTAAATATGGTAATACTAGGCCTATATAAGATGCAAGATACCCCCTATTTACCCCCCCCCCCAAAAAAAATTTATATGGTTGACATCTTAGAGTTGGCATTCTACTGTAAAATAATACTATAGAATAGTTTTTATTATGCATGGTACATGATACAGATCAAATCTTGGCTCTCCAAACTATTACACGCTTCCTTCAACAGTTCAATATATTATAAAACACAGTTTTGATTTTGAACAATTTCACCAATAGGTGGCGCTATGGGAGACATTCTTCATTATGTGTTTATCTAAATATTGTTTGGAAAGGAATCAGTTTCTACTAAAACATACAAACCTAATATATTCTGATGAAAAAAGGATAGAGATATGATAGGTACAGTACTACAGTATATATGAAATGTACATATTTTAATGATTTATCGAAAATTTGGACGAAATCTTAAAAATGGGGGGAATGAACAACCAAAATCTTCTTTTTAGATAATTTAAATATTTTTCAGGGTAGAAATATTATAAATTGATGTTGAAAAATACTAATTAACCACATTTTATTGAAAAAAAGGAATGAAAAAAATGATCAAATGAATATTATATAATTGTCGGCAATTTTGGCGGCCATCTTGGATTTTCACCAAGAAGGAGTGCGATCCACGCTTGGCAATGCGGATCAAAATTTTTAGAATGTCCATATTAGTGTATGTGCCAAAAATCTAAGAATATATATGATCGCGAACTATCGAGCCATTATTGACTGGGCTATAAGAGTAAGGAATGTTTCTAACTCCCACAATGCAATACTGGACAAGAATGAAAATTTAGAGATTACATACTTGCACGCTTTATTAGATCTGTTGCATACAGTATGCCATGTGACTTGATCAGTGGAGACCTCTATATTGTAGCTGTAACTTCTTTCATCGCAATCCCATAGCAACAACCTGTAGTACAAAATACAACTTGATTCTGGTTGCCATGGTAACAATATTTTGATGGTATCATTTTTACCCCAATTTTTTTTTTTGATTTTCTCTAAATCTTAAAGGTGTTCTCTCTAATTGGACCTAAAAGCAACTAGATGGGAAATGAAATATCCCAAATATTAATTACATCTCACTTCATAATTATGTTCTTGCGTTAAACAATATTTGATATCAAGTGTTTTTGGTATTGTCATGGCAATCTATTATTTATATGAAATTTTATGAACAATCCAGCCAACTGTATTTAATGCTATCTTGGCATCATTAAGGCCAATTGAAAAGTGTATTGAGGTATGTTGATAAACATGCTGCATTAAAGAATGTTCTGTTTATAACTACTTTGAAGCAGCTATAACCAACCACTAGTATGGAGGAAATACCCCAGAATGCATAGGTGAACACTGAACCTACCTCCATGTAAAGTTCAACCTCCAGCTTCATCTTTACATAGAGAGGTTCATCCGTGAAATCTGGGGTTATCCTCCCTCTTAGGGATACATAAGGCTTATGTACTGGGAGGTTTTGGATATGGGGTTTATCCAGAGGGAGATATCCATATCTACCTGAGTGACTGTTAGGGACTATGTTTACATCTATGTATATTACGGCATATTTTACTGCCTTACCTCATATTTGAGAGTAGATATGGTTGTGCAAGTTGAACAATGATGGCACCACTTCCAAGCTGATGGCACGTGTATCCAGAGTCCCAGTCGTAGTTCTTAGTATCCCCATTTATCAATGCATTTCGACTTCGACTAACTCCCTCTATAACTGTAGCACTAGCTGCCACCGTTGCAACATTTTCTGTGGGAACTAAAAGATGAAATAATTACAGTTTTGCATATTTTTCTATTTCTTGGCTAATAATGCCCTCTGAGCTTTGCCAAAATGATCCAATAACTTATGCGAAAATATTGACATCTTGAAATAAAATATGAATAAATATGAAAAAATTTAATTTCTCCATGGAATTCATATTAGGTATTTAAATCTCCTCTAAAGCAAGTTCCTTTGCTATAATATATTTATTAAACTCTATTTACCACTTACCTATAAGACCATGCTTCAATGAACATATTTTGTGGGTATAATAGCACTCTAAGGCAACACAATGGAAAACTCTGTTGACAGTATTGTGGGTGCCAACAACCCTCACGTACCTACAAACAAGTAAAAATATAATATATAAAACTACAGTAAGACCTGTATATCAAAACACTTCTCTAACCTGAGCACCCCTCAATCAAATACTTTTTCCATTCCATTCTAATCTGCCATAGTGTTAGTGTAGCATTGCTGAAATACTCAAAATTTAACAACTCAAACACTTTTTCCATTCCATTCTAATCTGCAATAGTGTTAGTGTTAGAGAAAATCTCTGGACATAGAAGTGCATACTCAACTAGCATGAGCTACTAGAGTATGTAGCATTGCTAAAACTCAAAATTTAACAACTGCCAATCGAAAACTTTTGGTCAGTCCCGAAGGCATTCGGATTATACCATTTTTACTGTATTTAAGTTAAAAATATTTTATTTCTGTGTCACAGATTTAAAAACTACATACTAATCATTATCCTTTTTGAGTTTTAAATAATTTTGAATCGCAAATAAACATGGCAAATATTCTCTTAATTTGTCAATGAACAATCAATATTCTTTACTTTAAATCATCTCACGACAGTCTTTTCCACCCTCAAACTCTACCATTTTAGGTCCATGCAAACTGCTGAAAAAAGTGTAAACTGCCATTTCAACTGAGACAGAATCATAACAGAAATCTACCATGAACTATCAATAAATGAATACTCACTTGGCAACAATGTCAGGAAAGCGACAATATTGCCACGATCGACAGAGATACTTGCGATGATCTACTACTCTGATCCAATCTTTCTCATCCATGGACACTTCAAGGTAATAGGAATATGACCTACAAATATACATTACATCAACTAAATCACTTCAAGGTAATAGGAATATGACCTACAAATAAACATTACATCAACTAAATCACTTCAAGGTAATAGGAATATGACCTAGAAATATACATTGCATCAACTAAATCACTTCAAGGTAATAGGAGTATGACCTAGAAATATACATTACATCAACTAAATCACTTCAAGGTAATAGGAATATGACCTAGAAATATACATTACATCAACTAAATCACTTCAAGGTAATAGGAGTATGACCTAGAAATATACATTACATCAACTAAATCTTCCAAACAAAGAGCAGTTCTTTGGTCAAAACAAAGAGCAAAATTGAAACACAAGACAAATTTTTAATATGCACATTATAAAGATAGCTGTAGATACATGTATACTTGTTCAAAAACTATTGCTTGTTAAAATAAAATATATATGCTGATTAAATATATACCAACCTCATATCTCTGTCCCATAGAAGAACCTTGATACAGTTGATGATAGATGGCGTATTAAGTTTGATTAGTATCCCCTGGCCATTATTTTCATCTATGGGGTGCCGGGAGAACCCCCGATCTAAATCATAGTTTGTTGTGTCCCCGTCTAGTAAAGCTGCTTTCATTTCACCACGTAGCACTGTGGCCCCATGGCGGAGTGTGGCAACATTCTCTTCGGGTACTTCAAAAATACGAGAAAGGTATTTTTAATATTTTGATTTATTCAATTCAATTTATTCAGGTGGCACCACAGATGATGCTTATACCCGTATATATAGTAGTAAAATCATGTAGTGTATCATTAAGTTGTCAAGGAATCAAACCAGAATGAAATTCATCATAATAAATAAGTTGAAAAATAAAGGTTATATTCATTTTATGTAACATTTGTTTATTTATTCAAACATAAGCTGTGAATGGGAAGATTTATCCAATATTCTGATTAAACTCGAACAATTCAGTATTTACAAATCAATGAGCATGCAATAAGTATGTGTACAGAACAGTATTATACAGTACAGGCATTAACATGCAAAATGTCACCACTTGCCATTTGTTACATCCTCTGATCACAGGGCTTCCAAATCCAGAATATATTCTTTCTTTTTACCCCCTGCGATAAGCAGTTAGCATTTCCCCGATTAAGAACTCGCAATCTGATTGGCCGTCGCAACACTGCGACAGAAATCATGTATAAGTCATTGAGCATAATTAGATCACGTGATTCAGTTAAATTGGGCGCTTCCTAATTGGTTATAGCAGGGGAGAAGAAGGATGTACGGATTCTGTACACGTGCTTAGGAAGATGCATTTGTTACAGATGCCAAACTTTACTTTACTTGGCATCTACATTATATTTCTTATAACTATCTACTTTGTAACTTACAAAGGAAGCCTCTGTACTTGAGCTGCATGTTCCTGGTCTCAGTTATGGTTTTGATAGCATCAAGAATTGAGTCAGGAGATACAAATTCTGTGGGTCGAACTGTGTTCAGTAGCTGTGGTATGGTCATCAATGGTAACCTGAAACATTTTATGGAATATTTATGGGCATTACTGTCAATCTAGACTTTTCATGATTGGTCAAACCTGGGTCACTGAAGAAAGAACAGGTAATATATTCTCCTGTTAAATTACCTGTCTATTTCCTAAGAAATGTTGCCTGAGCTTTCAAATGTAATATGTAATAAAGGAAATATTGTACAAATATTAAATTCTATTGAGGTGAATACCTGTGCATCTCTCACAAATGATAATGCACTTCACCAAAACCACATTCAAATTATAATCACAAATTACAATCACAATACACAATCACAAATTACAATCACATTCATGTACAATCTCTGTATAACCTTTATACATGTGTCACCGCACACTCCAGTTGTCATACTTATGGTGGGGTTGTACCGTACCTTACAACAGACATAATTGGTGCAACATCTACTTCAGGGTTACGCTCAGACCAAACTTTTATGGCATTGAAGATATCAATTTCTGCTGCACAGAAAGAATCCCGACTGATGATGTCATATAGCGCTGGCTGCAAAAAAACAGAACATACAAATATTGATTTTTTTTGTTTGTTCTAGACTAAATCCACTGAGACATTTTTGAATTGATTTGATGAGAGAGTTGGCTAACCTGTCTGCCTTTGCTGTCAGCAAGGTAATTTTTTTGTTACTTATTCATTAAAGAAATGATATTTTAACACATATACTTAAGTACATGCACAGTGATCTCCCAGCATTAAAGCAAGTAGGCGCAGCACCCACTTGAGATTTTGAAAACAGGCTTGCACCCACCTGAAAATCCATTTGCATCCACTTGAAAATGAGAAAATTCATGAAAATTAGCCATATTTTGAACAAATTTGGTTTCAAATTTGAGATTCTGAATTTTGCAACTACTTGAGATAAAATCCTGGGGAGATCACTGAATATTTAGAGACCAACAGAAGCCACTACTTCATCAGCTTGTGATATGACACAACCGATGAAGACCACAATTTCCAATTCATTAAGTATTAGTTAGGCAAAACAAGTTTTTAACTTTATATGAATTGTATAGAATTAAAACATATCTTTGCCTGAATTCTGTAATGAGAGTTTTTCATTCACAAATAAAATCCTTGGACACTGTACTGTAGGTTCGGTTAATTTGGCGCCTGCTTTAATTTGGCAAATTTGGTGAATTAACAGAAAAAAACTTTAATATCTAAGCCAAAATTCAGGAGGGATTACTGGGAATTTTACAGGGAACTTCGTCCGATGTATTTAAGTCACTTCCAGTTTAGTTTTTACAAAATCTGAAAAGGATAGCTGAATGAACATCAATATGATTGAGCTTTTCCACAGTTGATTCTTATTAAAGGAATATGTGTAACAATTTGTATTCTACTCCAGTGTATGGGGAAGTTATGGCGTCGGAGCAATTTCCAAGTCCTAGTGTCCCCCAAATTAAATAGCTGCCAATGTGCAAAAAAGGCAAAACTGCCAAATTAAGTAGCGCCAAATTAACCCAATGTACATTATTTATAATAAAAAAATTAAAAAAACATTTTCTTACCCCAGATAAGGAAAGAAATGCTTCCCCACGAAGTACATCTGGTGCATTACGATCTATAAATTCGTAACATGTCTTGCATAGTGATGCTAATCCATACATATTTGCTAGATCATAGATAAAGCAGACATTGCGTATGTTGAGGGTAGCTTTGAGATAGTCAGAAATGCTGGATTCTAGTTCTAGAAAACCATACTGGTGACTCAATCCAAGTACATCCAGTAAGTTCTCCTCCTGAAATCATAGTAATTGAAATTTTGGAGAGTAGTTGAAACAGATATGCCCATAGAGACGATTCAATTTAAACATTATCTTCTTTTTATAGAAAAGAAAAGGTGAGAAAATCAAAAAATGTACCTTCATATCAGCGAGATTAACTCGCCCAGTGTAGATGTACTTGAGAAGGTGTCTGAAAGCATCGGGTGTTGTATCTTTCAACTCTATAGTGCTGACACCTGGCTGTGACTCTCGTAAACCACCAAAGAGAAGAGCCCTGTATAAATAAGAATATTCACAAATTCAGATATATGAGTAAAGCTGAATACTGTATTTAAGAAATATAGACCGAAGAGCAGGGGTAATATCTTCGAAAATACACCCCGCAGGGCTAGACGCAAACATTTTCTGTACCCCAGTCATATTAATGGCTTCACAAAATTGATATAGAAAATCTACATCGTACTGTACCACCCTATGCTTAGTGAGCGGACCTAATTTCAAGGGTGATGGTAAAGACGATGCATGGCGCCAAAACCTGGCCTGTAACTAGGTGCACTGATGCTTTCTTCGCAAATTACATCGCCATCGCTCGTCATCGAAATTCTGATCGCCGAATAGTAAACATTCATTTTGTATTGGATGTACATAACTAGAGACCGCCTTATTTCGCATATATGAAAAAATAAAACATATCTAGGTACATATATCTTTATATGTGACATCGATCAGGAATTATCGACATATTGACAATATTAGGTTGTAATTTCTTGCGGTAAATTCAAATTGTATCTTTAAACGACTGTTTCATCTTAACTATTCGTTTTATTGGATGTTAAACAAACGGTATGCATAGTTTAACATCTTTCTCTTCTAAAACAACATAAAATATCACAATATCATCACCTAATGCTGCAATAATACGACTTAAAAGATTATGGTACTAATATTCTTTGGTTTTTGGGCGCCATGCCTCGTCTTACCATCACCCTTGAAATTAGGTCCGCTCACTAGGCATAGGGTGTGTACTGCTAATCCTATATTTTGTGCTGCATATTTCTCCCAATTTTGGGAAGCTATGGCCACCATACGGTTTATTAGAAGCATTTGAGTAGATGTGGTAAATTGTTATAATTCAAAAACAATCTTACAAAGTCTATGGACATGAATGTAATACCTTTGGAAGAATATCCGAATAATGTAAAACAACCTCTCTAGATACCCTACGTGTTATAAATGTACATATAAAAACATTTCCAGGCGAAAATATAGAATTGGAATGTAATTACATACCTAAAATAATCAGACCTTGAAGCTAGAATCACTCTATGTGCGTGGAATTCAACTCCTGACGCAAGCAAAATGATGTCACTGTAATCCTCGTTTTCAAAGAGTGCTCCAATGTTTTCCGATAGATCGTTCACATGATCAATTTCCCCGACAGGATGTTGTGAGCGAAGCTGATGATGATCACACATTCTGACAGATATCTCTAAGCCCTCATCACCCGCTCACCTATGGAAGGCAATATTTTGACATTTTATAAACATGGTTGTGAAGGATTTGAAATCAAAACAAAAATAGAAAAACAAATCCACAAGATTTTTAAATTATTTTCAAATCCAAAATTTAGAGAATTTTACTGTTTTCAATTGGAAAATATATGTTACCGTTTACCTTACGATACTCATGAACATATCTATCACTTTTATTTAGTGCTGTTTCTTGTAATAAAGCGAGTGCAGTCGAAGAATTGTGGTTTTTCTGAAGTCACAACATTTTGGAGCCTAAGAACACCAACAATAAAACATGCGCCTTGGCAAATAGTTCTTGATGGTATCAGCTAGAGCACTCTTAAAAGTAAATAAGTTGCTAAAAGTATATATTACTCTTGTGTGTTTTACAATTTAAATGAAAATAAGGCATAATAATGACGATTAATGAAAGATATGATCGTTTTTAATAATAACCATAAGCGGAAGAATTTTCAGCAAAAGAGTCTTCCTGGAACTATGCACAAGTGTTAAAGGATGAGAATCTATAATGATAGTTCTAGTCCGAGCGCAGAGGTTAATGCATTAAAGATTTGAACCCTAGACTCAATGCCTTATGGGCTGATTCATTCCACGAATGTATTGTGTCAAGACCTTTGCATGGAGCATGATTGAAATATCTAGGAAAGAACATATGAGTGGAATCATGGGCTTTCAACAGAAAGCCCATGGTGGAATGAATCATCCAGAATGCATTGAGTCTTCGACTAAATTCGTTCATACATTGTTAAATATGTTACACAGTATCACTCAAAGAAAAAGAAGAGTTTTTTGCATGGACACTTCTGCAAAGGATAAATAAACCGGGTCACCACTGACTGAAATTTCATCACCTGTCCTTGACACACTCATCCAACGCTTACCATTTGACCTGCATATTCCCTATTCCCTATGATATACATGTATTATTCATAGATTTTCACTCAACAATAAAAATGATCAGTTTTTCGCTAGAATCTAAAACTATCCAGAGTTCATTGGAGTAGTATTTAATGCGATGTAACTAAATGAGATAGATCTAATGTGTTCTGATTGGAATATCCTAGATGCGAGTAGAAATAATCTTGATTTACATCATTAAAAATTCACAATTCAGTCAAACTGGTTTCATATTTGGAATCTACATATAAATTACATCTAGAAATGTGGTTCTGAAAAGAGTTTATCAACTTTGCAAATTTAATTTTTTGCCAAAATTGTGACTTCTAGGTCGGGGAGATTCCCCATAGACCCAATGTTGTAAAACTACAAAAGGTGAAATATCTTTTCTTGTGTTGGGCAGATAATATTCAAACCTTTCCATATGCCTTAACGCCGTTATTCTAATAAAGTCTTCAGAAGTGTCTGTCTGATCTTTATTGTTTTGACCGCTGTCTGCTGCCATTATTATGTAAATGACTTCAAAATTAATGCCATGGGCAAAAGGCATATGCTATTGAACCCCATCTTTTATTTTAGAGCTTGACACTTCATGTTTCACTTCCGGGTCAACTTCAGGGTCATTTATATCTAGTTGTTTACTAAATAAATACATGACTGAAATGTACACGATGTGTCTGTACTTTGTCTTTATATAAGATGTATTTATACTCTATATGACACTTCGCTGATAGGCCCTCTGCGATAAACAAGTGCTGTTTATATTTAGTCAAAATTGACCTACATCCGGGCATTTATATATTCCATCATGGCGGCTCAGAGTGAAGGAGGAGGTAAAGATGATATAAAAACTCAATTTATGACCCGTGAAGGGACTTATAAACTAATGACTCTCTCGGAATATACAAGGCCAAATAGAGTGGCTTACAATGGAGGCACGCCAAACACTCCTGTCCGTGTATCTTTCGTGCAATTACCCGATGCTTCCGGCTGCGGGGAAAGAATTTGTTTCAACATTGGAAGAGAATTGTATTTTTACATGTACAAGGGTGTCAGAAAGGTATGTATGATCATATTTTCACATGCCTTATCACTTTTTGAAAATCACTTATATTTCTTTGGTGGGAATTCAGGGTTTTGTGATGATCCAGTAAGTCTGAATTTCCCCCCTGTAAAAAATTGGCAATTTTTGCCTAAAAAATTGAAATCAAAATTCAAATGTAATCATTCTAGGCTCTACCGTAGTTCTGCAGTCTGGAGTCGAATCTTCATTACTACCAACAGGTGTTATTCTAACAAATACAGATTCTCTTTAGAATCCTGCTGTTGTGTCTGAAAGCCCATGCTTGAACTCACCATAAATACATCTTGATTTCCTATCACCATTCCCATGGTGATTTGCGACTTCATACTTTCCAATAAAACACATCCCTTAAGTTCTTCGCCAGCTAAAATGTCACTCGACTTTTTTGCAAAAAACCTTCCAAAATGTAACAGTCGCATTAATTCACATTGTCGTACTTACAAAATTATCCACCGCCTAACTTATGCACCATCGAACTCGGTAATATTGCACACGTAACTGTTAATTACGTATATTCCCATAGAAAACTGGGCTTGCTTTTCAACATTTCAAGCGAAAATTCTCTACGGAGATTTTGTTTTTCTGACGTAATTTCTTCTAAGAAATCGGTGACGTGATAGGTTCAGTTCATCTTATTTCAAGAGGGGGGTCATCTATTTAGAATATTGATTTTCATCTTGTCCAGTCCTATATACAACCTGCCCTTATCCTTTTCGCTTGTAAAACCGCGTAGTAATGTTGAAATTATGGAATAGATTCTCTGAGAGTGGCGACATGTCTGCACCTCTACCATCTTGCGTTTGACATCCCTCGTTTTGGGCGAGTCCAAGTAAACCGCACATCCGGGTGATTAGAAAATAGACATTTTTCAAGAAAATTCGAGCGGTGAGACAGATTACTCTGGTCAAACTGAGTTTTTGACGAAACTTATGAAAGAATCAATAAAAGGTAAGTGATATACATTAGGCGGATGCCAAAAATTAAACATGGCGCCAATTTGAAACTTCAGAATGCCTTCTGTGATTCAAAATCACAAAAAAAAGTCGAGTGACATTTTAGCTGGCGAAGAACTTAGTTTTGTACCCTTTGCATTCGTTTGACTTCACTTCTTAAAAGAGAGCTTCGTCTTCACTCTTTCAAACTAAAATAAACCTGTGAACTCACCGCGCCAATCAGTGTTCGTCGGCCAAATTTGACCGACGTTCTATTCATGGTCATTCCATCTGACGTCATCGTTGAGCTCAGAATCGACCAATGACATGCCCATATTTAATTAGCATGCATTTGGCGTCTGTTTCTTCAAGCTCGCTGACTGATGGAAGAAAGGTCAGCGCGTAGGTCAGAAGTGATTTATTATACAAACTGTCACTGGCACCCGTCGTGGGGGCAGGGCTACTAAACTGTAATATGGTCTCTACTAGGCAGAGTGTAGTTTAACTAGACTCTGCGCGCAGGGTATTAGTTTTGTATATTTTACATTTTGTATTCTCTCAACTTCTAATGTTTCGTCACTTGAAAATTCTCTTTTTTCACATTCACTTCAGCAAGGCGTTAGTAACAATATCCAAATGTAACAACTTGAAGCAAAATCATTGCGAAGAGCACAAAATTATCTATTACATGTAATTCATAAAATAAACATAATTACTGAGGAGATACTTTGGCATAGCAGAATTGAAGAAACCGTGATATTCTGCGGGTTGAACATGGGAATATAACATGGTAAGTAGTAGTACATACCCTGCGAGGCATTTGTATGGAAGTCAAAGTGAAAGTTAGCAGGCAATATTGCACAATTACCCCAATCTAGCCTCCTTAGCTCATTTTGATAAATAGATTCTTTAATAACTATTACAATATCATGACATCAAGTTTCATTTCGTGAACAAACATGTGACATCATTGATACAAAGTTGCTATAGGAATAAAGATATGTAATACATCAGTTAAGTCACTATGACATAAAATATGCCTTCATTCTTGCCCAAATATAGAGCCTCCCAAGGTCAGCCTATATTATTATTGTAGATAATTTTGAACTCTTCGCAATGGAGATTGATTTCAAGGCAGTGCGTGAAATAGACGTCCGCCATTGGCCTGACAAAATTATAGATGTCTTGTTTTAATAAAAACACCCAGACATTTTGGCCTGCCAGACATTTGTGGCATTTGTTAGATTGCCCATGAATAGAACTTACATTTCAACCCGGGAATCCTCAGAATTCCCGCGTTTTCGGCTTATTCCATGACTTTTGTTGAAAAGACTTTTGTTTTGAAGAAAAAAATTTCAAAATAATTTTGTTTTCGTACCAAAGCGCAAGATATAACGCTACTTTTGATTGGCTGTTGTTGTTTGTTGAAATTACGGTGATTTAGATTGGCTATGAATGACTCATCAAGAGGTTCTACTCCCAGCATGCATTTCGATCAAACAAAATCATAGTTTCAAAAGGAGTTCCCCTTTGAGGCGTGACATCATTGACGTACAATAAATACTGGGATTGTTATGCCTCTAACTTAGTTTTGTTCGCAGGGTTTTCAGATTTTTAAAGAATAAAATGATATATTTAGGTTCACATTTCCTCTTAGATAATCATACCTAAACGTCCAGCTTAGCCCCCCAAAGAAAGAGAAGCCTGCTTTTTTTTTACCGAAGCAAAGTAAGATCGACGAAACTGGTAGGGTTGCTGTTGCCAAATGATAGGCCTTTCATTCAATTCAATGGAGGGGAGTGTATATACCTTGAATTTAGTGGAGTCTGTGTACATAGTATGTGTTGAATACCTTGAAGCTTCTGAGTTCTGAGCGTTTCAAAACCGATCAAAATCAGTACTAGTTTGATCAACATGTACATGTTCCTCATTTTTTGTAAGGTGAATCTAGGGGGAAATCAACACCTGGGCCTGCCAAAAATTGGCCTGAGAAAAAATGATACGGCTGGTTAAAATCTAGCTGGCCTGCCAAAATGTCTAGGTTAAAAAAATCCTTATTTCATGCACTGCAAGGCATTACATTTTTTTTTTTACATTTATTTATTTATTTTATTATCATATTCATTTAGTATTACATTAACATTTGGAATGGAAACAATAATCAAATTTAAAAACAAAAACAAATGCTAAATGCCTTGTACAAGGCTAGATTGTAAACTGCAAACTTCACAAATAGAAAATATCTCGAGGACTGTAGATGATATGTGATTGAAATGGAATCTGCCATCAAAACACAGTAAAATATGTCTGAGTGGAACACATACGGCACCTTTAAAAAGTGTTCCA